AAGAGCTACAACCGTAACACTGAATCTTCGGATTGTACACCAAGAAAAAGAACGGCTATGTCGTCCATTTCCAATAATTTTTCAGCACCGGTTTTAGACTTTACAACAGAGAGCTCATCTTGCACATCACGAAGGAAAGGATCTAATGATCGTTCTAATCCAACGCCATCTGTTTCATCCATTAGCGGACCCAGCACCAGCAGCAATTACATGCATAGCATGCCATCAATTGATCATATTACGCGCTCCACTGTAACTCCGCATAGACATAGTCAACGTCATGAGCACAGCTTTCGTTCTGTGGTCCCATCAAATCCCACTCGACGTCCTAGGTAAGAAAATATCTAATTCTTTTTTACATTTCCATGATACATGGAAATATCATTGATTAATCTTTCAACAACATTATTTTTTGTATGTTTAGAAGCAGGTATGCAATGATGTCTAGTATGAGGAACGAGCAGATCGACGGTATGTCCAATATTAGATCGGGCAATCCGAGGATACCAGTTCACCAAGAAAGAACGCCCTCCGAAAAATCAGACTTGCAATGGTTGGATAAACTTAGCGTGGCCATTCCGGACTTGGCTAAACAACCTTCTGTTTACTTTCAAAGCGATACAAGTATATTTCATCTAATTTATAAATTATAATTTCTATATACATAATTTTCTTTTCAGAAGATTCCTGAAATCAAGCTAACGGCCCGACATTCCGGCCGCCGTTTCGAAGGAACACCTGACAGGATTGTGAATTCTGTCTGACTTATTGGAATCTGTTAGCGCATTATCAATATTGTCAATATTGGACATCAGTATTTAATTATTATCGGGCTAATCGAAATATTATTCGTCAGATTTTTAATATCTGAAAACTACAACTAAAACAAAACCTGACCGTAAAACAAATTTACAAATATTGTATGCATGTGTAAATAGTTGAATATCAAGCAATCATTTATGTCATTTCAATATCGCATAATCATTTCCAAAAATTATATATTATTGTTTTTTATGTTATATATTTAAACTGTTATAGTTTATTCAGATATATTTATTATTTGACATTGAAAATGACAAAATGCAGCTAAACTTATTCTATATTCATATGATAAAATGCGTGTATTAAATGTTACTAACTAATAGGTGTACATACAAATAAGCCATAACAGTGTATAAAAAAAAGTATATAAATGTATTAATATATATATAGTTTTGTTACATGTTTTTTTTTAATAAAAATCTTTTATATTACCATATATTTCTTTCTGTAAACATTTTTAGATTCAAAAAGTATGTTCGTATATTTATACAATATTTACTAGCTAATAAGTCATTATATTTTGTGAATATTTATACATATTTCTATTTCTAAAATATCTTTATTTTGCTAATTGAAGAGAATTTATGATTACATGTGATTTTTTGTTGTTTGAAACTCAATTATATAAGACTTTAATTAATTTATTTAGTTTTGTACTTCAAATGAAAGAAGAAGAAGAAATGGGATCATTGTTACATATTTTTGTTAGTTATCTAAATGTGTACTATATGTAAATGTTATTAGAACTTACAATTACTTCATTAATTGCATTATAACCGATATGGATTTCAACATGGTATAATTATATTTTTAATATAATATTTTACAAATTTCTTAACATTAAAAATGGTGAATCATAAATGTGTTGCATGCTTATAGGAAATATCTAGAATCATTAAAATCCAATCTATATAATAGATTATAAATGTATTAAAATAATAATATTCATTATAACAATCACAGCATATAAACAAACAAAAATTAAAATATATGTGTATAATCATAACAATAAATTTAAAAAAAGAACAATTATGATAGTATATATCAAAATGTATCCTAATTGTTTAGTAGATATGCAAGAATAGGAATGTAATTACAACAAAAAAATGATGTTTTCAATATAATAATATCCGAATGATATAGAATAGTGAAACAAATATTATTCTCATAATCATATACTTAAGAATTAACTTATTAAACGATGCATTAGTATTAATATTAAATCCTGTATCTAGTATTGTGCATATTATATGTGTTTCACCATCTTGGTAACATTTATATAGTACTATTTATAAGATATATTACAGCAAATAAATGTCTACTTATGAAATAGGCTGTTGTTTTTACTTAATTTAATAAGTTTAAAATATCTGAATTACGTTAATTATTTCCTCTTAGTTTTTATTTACGTTCTATTTAATTTAGTAAACGTTTTAACGAGTTTAATCCATTAAAAAAAATCCGGATTTTTACTTGCATAGTGAAACATATTCAAAAATACACATAATATGTGTACACAAGTTTTAAAAATGATGTAGCAGGCGCGCAATCCGGGACTTCTCTTCTCTTCGTTATGCTTTCGCTCGTTAAGCGAGTCATTTTCCTTACAATTCTTTTTGCTCGTTATGCGAGGTTCCTCTGTATAGAAATATATATAATATTCAGTTTAGATATTATTTCGTTCAGTTAAAGCTCTTCAAGTCGATATTTTGGTATAAAGAAACTTGGTAATATTATGAATCATAAATGAATCCAAGTTTATTATTTGTACATAGTTATGAGTCATGAAAGGGGTTGTTTCGTGTGCGTAATTGGAAACATTTAATATTAAAAATATACAATGTATATTCTACAGTATTATTAGAAAAAATACAAAAGTAAATTATATAAAAAAAACGCATCGATGTAGGCATGTGTGTAAATGTATCGATTGATTTATTGTTATATTTTTATTAAACGAAAATAAACGTTGAAAACTCGTGTCCGTAATTATTTATCAAAGGTGCGTGCGCGTAATCGGTTGACAATTCACGAGTCTGCGTTGCTTTTGGACACTCCACGGTTCTGTCCTGATGTTAGTTAAATTGAAGGGTATTAGCACACGAGATTAATCAAATTAAGTAATTGTTCACAGAGGAGATTCAGGTAGAAAACGGAGAGTAACAATTAATAATATTGGCATCAGATGAAAAGAGGCGCGGTCAATTCGGGATGTTCGATAATAACAATAAGAAACAAAACACGATATTAGTAACAAGGTAATAAAAAGGTAAACAATATTTATCGATGTTGTAACGCGTAATTTGTTTTATTTATAACTATATGTATTCAATGTAATTAAGTTATGTTGTTTTTGTTTACAATTTTCTGTTATTTATAAACTTATAGATTGAAAAATCATAATTAAAATCTTATTATTAAATCTATTTATCAATTAATAATTATTGTTAAAGTTAAAATTCTGTGAAGAATGTAATAAATAAAATTTAATAAATATTAATCATTAAAATTTATTTTCTCTTTACGTGAAAGTAGTGGAAAACAAATTAAATTGTAGAATTGTCACGTTTATAATAATTATGTTTAGATTTTAAATTTGTTTTTGTCTTGAACTTGAAGTGAGTTAGTAAATACCTTTAATTGGTTTGTCGTAGATAACGTTTTTTATTAATATTTTCTTATTACAAATCTTCACCTTGTTGTGCTATAATATTGTCTTGTTTTAAAAGTGTTTAAAATGAAAATCATTTGCGTATAGTCTTTTCTTATAAGAAATCTTAAATTTTAAGTAATGTCACGTTCACATTAAAAAAGTAATTTTAATAGTAATGTTTGTAGGTGTGATACGTGACGCAACTATCTCGCTCCGTTATTTACATTTATTGGCAGGAAATATTTTACTAATGATTCAATATAATCGTTTCATAAGCTCCGTTTGTTTGGGCTTGCATATTTATCCACGCTGATAACGAAAATGTTATCGAACGTAGGCATTGTTTAACAACAACTCTAGTCGGAAGAAATTTCAGGTCTGTTTACCGTCACTCTCCACGGAGCGACGATTTCTTTTAATTAACGCATCATTGCGCTTCGATTAATTACTTCAATTTAGCAGCGATGTGTAGGTCAATTAATAATACAAAATAGTCTCATTATAATATTTAGCTCGTGTGCTGGAAACATCTTGTTTTTCTTCATTTAATTGAAAGCGGACTGAGAAGAGGAGTGTAGTGTACTGTGGCGATGCAGAGACGTCCATTTCCAGTTTAAAATAGAAACGAAAAAGTGCTGTAAAATATATGTGGAAGTAGAACAGTTTCTACGGTGCAGCCTGTGCGTAAACTTGGAAAGAGAGAGACTTTTTTTGGCAAATTCCTTAAAGAAATTCGATAGGATTCGATGAAGTAATCGCAAGTGAAAGTGAAGGCGCGTTATTATAGCATCGCGTCCGAAATAATAACGAGCGGAGTTCATTTAAAAATAAATATTGCTTTAATAAACAGTGGCTCCAGACTAAACTAAATAAACAAACTCTAATACAAGACTGTGTAAGTTATTGAAACTCTCAAAAGATTTTTCATGCATAAACGGTTTTTTTTTTTAATAATTTAATGATCATGTCGTTACTACGTTTAAATGCGGAGTGTTGATTTTATTAATAATTATGTCAAACATGTAATTTACTGTGACGTGCGTGAACCATTTTATCCCACTTTTGACTCATTTATCTTTATTAATGAGAAACAACGAGATTTTCTTGCAGCTTTATGCCAGGGCTTCAGCTCCTCTAAGAGACTATTACGGACTCACCATCAATGAGAAAGAGGCATGCTTCAGATAACTACGTTTAAATCGATTTAATTTTTACATTTTTGCAGGTGATTTTAAATGTTTGGAACATAACGCACGGCCCTCACGTTTTTCCACGGCGTTTGAGGTGTCCTCTCCAAGAGTTGGAGCACGATAAGTCCTTAACAGTAGCCATAAGCAATTTCTTCGGAAAGCACGTGCTCCAATACTCTTTGAGTGTAGCAAAGAAGGACCCGAAGCTGCAGAGTTTACCATCGAAAATATTCCTCTACATACTGCGGTATCTGGCAACCAAGGATATCTTGAGCTTGGGACAATCGTCGAAAATATTCTTCGAGGTGACTATCTCTTTATTTCGAGCAACATAATTTACAATTGTTACAAATTTTAGCTCTGCAATGGCCAACCTTCGTGGAAGATGATCTTCAGCAGACGGAAGGATAGCAAAATGGAAACGCCGAAGAGAAATGTCGTGGCGGAGCAGCAGAGGCGATTACGCGATGTGCAAAGTCCGCGATGTGATAACAAGCAAAAAAAGAAAGTTGCGTTTTGCACTGTCGAAGAAAGCGGGAATTCGTTCGCGAAAATCGGCGAGGACATTTACACCGATATGCGGAAGAAATTTGAAGAGCAGTTTAGGAGTGCGGAGGAATCCCTAGGTTTGAATGTTGAAGTGGATGGATCGGATTTGGGTGCGTTCGAAGTGGCGGAAACGAGGAAAATAAAACCGATCAAAAAGGACAATTTGAATCTGACCTGTAATACGGAATGTGATAAAAATTATTATAAGGTTCCTCAGACCAGCAAAACGGAGTTCAACAGAAAGTTATCGGAATGCGCTTCCAACAATCCGCAGTTGAATTGTTTGAGGTTCGAGGATGAAGTTGTGTCTGAGAAGAAAGGTTTGTGGAAAGGTTTGAAGAGTTCTGTGGTGAAGAGTGAGAAGCGGAAGGTGGTTCTGAATAATGTTAAGGTGGATAATAGCAGTCAGCAGAGGATGACGAAAAATAATCAGTTGAACGAGGTGAAGCGCGGCGAGAGCGGCTTCAAGCTTATTAACAATATAAAACCTAAAGGTATACTGAAGAAAAGTAATGTAAATATATAGTGTATTCAATAAATATCAGCAAGTGATCCTTTTTGGTACCCAGTTCCCTGAACCGTTGCAAACTATTTGTTTTCTTTCTTTGGTCTCTGGGCACTCGAGGCGACAGACCGTTCCGGGCTGATTCAATCTCAACACTCGATCGGATATCCATTTAATGGAGCTTTTCATGCCTCGTTCGCGGGAGCAATCGAAGAATCCTTTCTGCGGGGTTTCCAACGCCGGACACGTTACATTGCTGATGCCCTTTTGCAAGCAAACGTAAGATCCATACGCATTCAAGCACAGTGGACATATCCGAAGTACCTTCTCGTTCGAGCACTCGTCGAAGTCTGTAAAAAGAAGATGTAGTGTTTGTTACATGTTAACAGTTGTCTAATTACCATGGCAAGTCTTTCGATCGTGACCTAAAATTAAACCATCTGGGCATGAGCAGTATGGTCCTCGTCTGGAATGAATGCATAAATGGGAGCAACCAGAACGACCATTCATGCACTGATCAATCACATCGCAATTGATTCCGTTGCTGGAGAGAACAGTGTTCGGTCGTCTACAACTGCAACGGAAAGAACCGTGAATATTCGTGCAGGTATCCTCGCAAGGTCCATGGCCATTGTTCAGCAAACATTCATTGGAATCAATGCAAGTCTTTGCATCTGCTGCAAGTTTGTATCCTGGATTGCATTGGCAAACGTACCGACCCATCTTATTCTCGCATATATCACTGCAACCACCATTATTGACCATACATTCGTCAATATCTGTAATGAAAAGAGATATTTTGTTACAATAATATATCCAAAGAACAACAACAAGTATTTCCTATTGAAATTGTGCTGTAAAATGTAAAAGAATAGGAACTATACTTCTTTCAATTTCTATTGTACAATTAATCATATATGAATGTCAGTTTTGACAGATACCAATGATAAAATAACTTAATTTAATAAAAAAAAACAATCAAAATAAGTTTAAATTCATTCACCTTTGTAAATAAAACTCATTGAAGTCAAATTATTGCAACAAATTATTACAACTTAAGTTTCAGGAAAAGCTTTTAAAAATGATGATTTTTCTATAAATCATGACCATGTTGACTGTTTTTCACTATTACATCAGCAATACTATCAAGTTATGATGAAATTTTGATTTAATGCGAATTGAAAATTATTATCAATTCAATTCAGAATAAATTCAATCCAATTTCTCAAATTTGCACTTAATTATTAATTTAATTATACGTATTCCATATAAGTGTTGTTTAATTACAATCAATTAATATTACACGAATTAAAAATAATTTAAATGCATTATAATAACAATAATTCTCTAAAATACTGGATTTCCAATTATTATTCACGCAGAAATAATTAAACGATATTATTGTTTGTATCTTTGAATGATTATTGTTTTTTGTTATACGTATTTATACACAATAACAAGAAACTCGTAATGAAAATATTTATGTCGAAGTGCACAGAAAACGCATTAATTTTAATTATTCTACATGGATTTTTTGCATTCCTAAGTGATGATTCGCTCCATTTCTGATGTCACCAAATTAACCAAATCATACAGTTCTTTGTTCCCCTAAAAACAGAATCCCGTCCTTCCATTCATTACCATAAATTATTGTTTTAAAATTTTAATTGCAATTAGAGCTCCGGATGACGTGCGTCTGCTGTACGATATAACTCAGATTATAAAAATTAAGCAACATGCGGTTTAATCAATACATATTTTCTCATTTGACAATTAAAATGATAAGTTCGTACAACTGAAAATAATACAGTGAACTCTCTTAGAACGCAATGCTCTTACAATACGTATTCTATTACGTTTTTTAAGATGGAATTAAGACGAATTTTTCCTTAATTTCTGCATGTACTTTAAACAACAACACTTACTTTATGTTGGATAACTTACTTATGTAGAAATAATAAAAAAATGTTTCTGGATTTCAAGATATAAATCATGAAGATGTAGAAGAACTACATCAGAAAGCTACTTTAAATGAACTTGATTTGATGACATAAATAATATCTGATTTATACTAATACTGAGTTTCTTATAACGCAGTTTCCAACTAACACGGTGCCATGTATTCGCGTTATAGGAGGGTTGGCTGTAATACAACTGCTAATAATAATTAGACTTAAGTCATACTAAATATGATTCAGTAGAAAATAATAATTGATCGCTTATTGTCGATAAATCATTGTTTTTAATTACTTGAAATTAATCGTATATTGTAACATCCTTCATTTAATTAGAATACTTAATTGGTAGGTTGTCCCACATGCATATCATTCAATCGAGACTGTGTCGAAAGAAGTTAGTGTAAATGGATTTTCTGTGTAAAAAACTCAATACTTTTACATATTAATTAATTACATCCAGATCTAGATTACACCACATTTTTTAATTAAATTATAATTGCTATCTTAACACTCTCTTTCCTATAAGATTTAAGAATTATTTGTCATTTAATCGTATTTCCTGCTGTTATCCTAACGGTTAGCTTAGCTTTATAAACATATTATTTCTGTTTAAATTATTCTGTAAGTTTATATGATTTTTTTTGCAAAAGGAAATTAATTAATATTAATTAAGTACATTACAATTACAGGAATATTTTTTTAATATATTCCTAGTTAATGTTTACGTTTGTTTAAATTATTTGATTTATGACTTTATATAAAAAAATAAGAAAATGTTCTGAAAAGTTCTGTTGTAATCTGCTGATAGATGTTGATAATAGTTGGAAAATATTATAAAAAAATAGACTTACCATAGCATCTTTTACCATCAGTTGATAAACGGAAACCATCGAAGCATGCGCATTTACCATCGATGCACCTTTGACGGCAATTTCTGCAGCGTTTGTCCGGCGCGGTAAAGATTGGAACATCGGCTTCTTTTATCTTGAAGATTGCGATTTCGTTGGAAATGACATTTTCTTTATCGGATTTCTTGCTTTTCTTCACGGGCCGCTTCCTTTCCTTCTTGGATTTTAATCGGATTTTCTTCGAGTCGTCTTTGTTGGGCGATGATCGCTTTGCGATGAGCTTTCGAATTCGCAACATCTTCCCTTCGATCCTGCGGATCTTCTTGATCGTCTTCTCTTTAGCATCCGGCGATTTGAACTTATCGATCTGCATCCTTCTGTTCAACTTGCTAAGTCTATTGGTGAGATGGAGCAAATGGCTTTGCGGATGTCGAGGGATGTGCTTCGAGACGTCCACCGTTTTCCTGGTTGCATCCGAATCGACGGCATTCCTTTCGGACACGTCTTGCCCTAGAACTGAACGAAAAGAAAAACAACAAAATGATACATAAGAATCGCCTTATTTAGAACGTGGATAATAAAAATGCCGGTGGGCGAGATTAGTGTCAAGTGATGTCTGGCTGTGAACTCTTTTGTTCGGTTAAACGGAACGAGAGCAATGCAATCTGGGATGCTCTTATTGTTATGCAGAAACCAGATGCCTTCAAATTCCGTTGCGTCAACGGCTACATCCTTTTATTTCCTCACTAGCACAGCAATGTGACCAGTATTGCGATTGATTAGGGTTAATCTATCGATCGAGGAACCGAATCGTGTACATCGTTTCAAATCAATTAGTTATTAAGATTATTTTATTTTATTTATTTATTTTTTCAAAGAACTTACCTGTAATTTCGATGTGGATAAACGTGATGAACAAGAACACAATCACTGAACGCATTGTTGTTGTTCACTTGTGTGTTACGAAGAGATGTATTTTCTTGTTTTTTTTTTTTGGAGAGAGAGCCCCGTTTGACCGGCGTGTCTACTTGTTTCAAAAGTTGGTCGCAGTCTAATCAATTGAAGCTAGGAGAAGAGAATTAAAATGCTTACAGTGTGTATTCCGACACGAAGATACAACAGCACTTTGCGATTATTCTATTTTTAGATTTGTCAGGTTTAGAAAGGGCTTTGATTATTATTAGACGAACGGACAGTACACTTTATTATGTAATATTATGCAGAGTATAATTTTGTCTTTTACGTAGTCTGCTTCAACACGGTGAAATAAGAAAATCCGCATCGAATCACCTACAACAACAATACACAAACATTATTATTATGAATTAGCTTCGCTCCACATACAGGCGAATTTATCCTACATTTGCGAATTATTGTGGGTAGAATTATAAGTGTTGTATTTCGCAATTACACACATTTCTATATTCAAATAATACTTAAATAAATTAAATAAAGTATTTTTCATAATATAAATCTTAAAAATACTGTCACAAAACTTATTATTAATATTTTCAATATCACTTCACAATAAATTCAAATTTTAAGAGCCAATCAGCAACATTTAAAAATAGAATTTAATGAAGACTTGCATAATTTAAAGTATTGGAATTTGCTCAGTTAAAACTGCTTATTCCATCAATAAAGTATTTTATACAACAATATTTCTTATAAAATTTCTTCAATTTATAATTGTAGTTAAATCAATTTCATAAAAAAAGCAAGACATTCTCTATATTACTTTTAGTTTTGATTTTTTATATATCCAGAAATTATATAACAACTAAAGTAATTTGATATTAAATATCATGGAAATTTCATCTTAATGTTTAATTAAATCATTAAGTGTAGTTGAATAACGAAATTGAAATTATTCTATGCAAAAGTTTAAGAGAAATAAAATTAGATTTTCTAATAGGTATTAAATTACTTTACATTTAATAATAATTCGAATTCTCCCAAATGCTTTAATTATTAAATAAATAATGGTAAAATGACAGCAAACTTGGAATGATTAATAAACGAGTTATCTAATATTAAATCCACTAAAACGGAACCAATTTTCTTATCAATAATTCTAATAGATACTATTCAACAGATTTCTAAAAAAATGTCAAATAAATGAAGGATAAAATATATTTTCTATAATACGAATTCGAGAATAATAGCACAAATAAATTGTATAAACTTTCACACGCTACAGTAACCTAAATAGCAGCACTAATCAAAACATCTTTATCTTTAATGCAGAGAAATTAGCTTCGTTTTGCAGAACTGAACTCAGACAATAGTGTTTCATTCTTCTAATCTTCTCAAAAAACTACTTGTTTATTAGATTTATGAAATGATTCATTTGCATTGTAAAATTGTAATTGCTTTCGACATTAGACATTAAAATTGACATAAATAATTGTAAAATAACAGTAAATTAATTACTTGAAAATCGTGGAACCAATTAAACGAAACGAATGATATAATAATATGAAAAGCTTCAGGCATTTACAGCAGTTAATTAATTAATTGATGAAAAATGTGCGTCTTTGCGTACGGGATTGTATGTAGTTTGGTACCACCAAAGATATTGATTTATTTTTATCTAAGAATTGTAGGAGAGAGCGAGAAATAGAGAGAGAGAAGATTGAATCAGATGGAAAATTGTTTGGGCTGCGGAATCTATGGATGTGGAAGTCTTCCTCAACTTAGCAAACGGAATATTTTCTAAGATCTGTCGTAGCACATTAAACCTGCTGCTGACAGGTCTCAAAATAATTCGCTCGCTGCGACAGACCGATTAAATATGAATTTCATCAAATTATTCCATTATTGCTTTTCCAAGAAAACATACTTATAATAAGTTTTAGTTGTGGGTTGTTACTTTCAGATTGAAGCGTGATTTTTCTCTTGCAAAATTCCAAAATAAATATTTAATTATATACAGAAATACCTCGTATAGTACGGCTTCGATCAGTCCGGTTTCACTATAGTCCGGTGTCAAAATTTTAATAGAAACTAAAGTATGATTGAGTAAAATAAATTCTAAATAAATAAGTGACTTTTTGTTCGATTTATTTTCAGTCGGGGTTATTGGCGGAACCCGTACCTACTGCAATATATTGTGTAAATAATATTTGCTTGTTTTTGTTAGATTCTTTCTTATCAGAATATAGTTTAAAGTAAGATATTAGTTTGTATTCTACTGTAATAGCTTAGTGTTTTTCATTTTTGTTATTAATTAAGTCAAGATAACATACTGCGATTAAAGCTGTGAGCGTGAGTGGGTAGAATTTGCCGATGGTCAAGACAATAGGTTTCTGCAATCTCCTCATGTTCATGATCATCGATTTCTTGAAAGACGTGTTGGCGGCGAACCAATCTGATTCGTATATTCCAATCATCACGTATTGAGCCTTAAATTGAAATTAAAATGTTTTAATTAATTAAATTCAGAGAAACTGTTTATTTTTACGTTCAATGTAATTTCATTCCCATAGACGCAGCAAAATGTCAATTGAATGAGAACTCCGCCGCAATAGTCAAGTTGTGCAATGAAATTTGGACTGAAAAGAGGCTCCTAAAATTGATTGTAAAAAATGTATAGATAAATTAATATAATGACTAACGTAAGACATGATGTAGAAGCAGGAAATTATAGCAAAGAGTGTGACCAAAGATTGAGCTAAAGTCCCGAAACAGAAAATATCTTCCATATCTTTGCAAACGCTGCAAAAAAAAAGTGTTAATTACAATGCGAGTTCCGTGATGTATATTATTACTCGATGATCATTTGAAGGTGAATTGTAATTTTCTTCATTTCTCTTTCCATCATGTTTGATAATAGCGGGTTTTCTGAGTCGCTGAAAATTTGGTAATTACTTGGTAATCGCATATTGTGAAGACATCTCGCTCTAATCGTCCTGAAGGCTCCTCGAATGTTGACAAAGTGAGCTCTAATGTACAGACAGAGGCTGGTAAATTGAAGATCGTAACCTTTAAACAGGTTAGATATTAGATAATAAAAATCAATTTGCTCTACGTGGAAGCACTCACAAGCAATTTGAAACACGTAGAATTGCATGGGAAAGTATTGGATGAGAAGAGCGGCCGTGCAGTGATTCTCGATGTCGAAAGGAAACCTATTGAAATAAGGCAAAAGCTCTTTGCAGGTCACGTTCGAATTTTGCAGATCATCTAACTTCAAATAAATGTAAAAGGTTTCATAAAACTTGGAGATAGGCACCAGATTTGCAATGGTGAAAAAAAGTAGCGCATTTATATAGAACATTTTCTTGTTCGCATTTACAGCTACGTCGGTATCAAAATCAGGCAAAGTTTCGTACTTTATAGCATCATCTTGCAATAGCCGCTTTAGCCTTTCAATCTTCGTCCTGTTCCTGTGCAGAATTAAAATTTTGAACGATCCCACCAAATGTGTCGTTAGCATCCCGATGTGCTCGATCAAATCAGAGGGTTTCGTCACGGTATCTTCAAGCGCCAACATTTCTGAACTCAAGTAGTAGCATTGGCAGTATAAAATCCAAAATGTATTATACGAATAGTAAAATGCAGTCTTCAAATTTCCATCGAAACTTTGAGGCAAATATAGACCGCACAGTTTCAGCAACCAGGTGTTTATTTTGAAGAAGTCTCTCGGATGTTCGTCCATGTTGCTATGATAATAACACCAAATATTGTAGGAATTCCTTATCTTTATATAAGATTTTCCCGGTTAATACATTCATTTCAGTGCAATTTGATTTGCGTAATTACAAAGCAAGCGATTCCTTATTTGTGTCGCTTCATCTTTTATTCAACTTTGGACCCTCCAACATCAAAGAAAATTACATAAAATCTATATAGCAAAGGGATGGCTTCCGAATACCGGTGTGGGGAAGGAAGTTTGTAATTTACTAAAGGATTTCTGCTTTTATTTAAACATATTTATCAAGACATTATTTATAGAAACATCACTAATTTAATATCACCGAATATTTACTCGTATAGTGAAACAGTTTTCTCCATATAAACTAATGTAAAATAAGATAATGTGTTCCATACCGGAAAAAAAAAGTATAACTTTGTGTCGATTTTTATGATTTTGTTTTTCATATCTACACTATCTATCATATCTACAAACAACACTAAGATGCAACTAGAATGACTACTAATACCAGGAACTGTGAAGTGAAGTGAGTATATTTGTTTATATTACTTGTAGCAATTCGGGATCTTGGTGGAGGTCTCTTTATAATTTTAATATTTGTCTAACAAAAGTTTGCTAATTTGGCATTAATTCATTTGTTTCTGAAAAAAACAGAAGTTGTTTCTGTCATTGTCATGTCAAATTTCAAGAAAATTGGTAAGAATGGATGGGAAAAAATGCAAGATTAGTGATGCCCAAAATCTTCGACCAATGATACAAATGTAGCCCTGGTGAAGGCAAACATTGACGAAGATCTAAGAGTGAAATAGGAAATGGTAAAGGATGAACTTTGGCTGCAAGAAGAAATCCGCTCAATGGGTTCCATGATTTTTAAATGACGACCAAATGAAGGCACGTGATCGTTTTGCCGAATATTTCTGGGAAAATTAAAAAAATGGAGATTCTAGCACTTTTAGTAAAATCGTAACAGATGATAAATCTTGATTCTATAAGTTTGACCTGGAAACCAAGCAGCAGTCCATGGTATGGACCGCCGAAGGTGCAAATCCCCGCAGTTAAAGCAAGACAACATAAAATCCGCAACAAATGTGATGATGTCGATTAACTTTACCTGGGTAAAAGTAATCTCACTCGAAACTGGTCAGAGGTTAACTGCTAAGTAGTACACAGAAATTGATTTTATTTTGTTTTTTTTTTCCAGACAACTAAGCTTTGTTAGACCCCTCGTAGTTTGTTTATATATTATAATAATGGTTTAACACAATACATTTGTTTTTTGCATTTACAACAATAATTTCAAATTGTAGTCCGCTATATACAAAAATGACAAAAAATCAAAAATACACATAATATGTGTAGACAAGTTTTGAAAACGATGTAGCAAGCGCACAATCCGGGACTTCTCTTCTCCTCGTCGCTCATTATGCGAAACGTCGCTCGTTAAACGAGTCATTTTTCTTACAATTCAATTTGCTCGTTAATCGAGGTTACACTGTGTTTCTATTGAGAACTTAATAAAAAAAATCTTTACATAATTATTTTCTTAGTTAAATTAATTTAATACATTATTTAACTTAAACACATTTTTTCAAATCAATTTTATTAAGATTATCATAAAAATATAACAAGAAAAAGAAATCATTGTTACGTTTAGTTTAGTTAATTTGGATATTTTCATTTATTATATAATCTTTATCTTAAAGACATAACATTTTTATCAAGAAGTTCTTTACGACATTTTCTAGAGCCAACACGAATTTAATCTTATCGAATTCATGCAAAAATAACAAAAAACCATATCATTAAATCATTGCAATTATATTATTAATTAACTTTAATATTGATTCATAATATTTGAAATATTTTTAAATTTAAGACACATTTTTTATTAAGAGACATATTACAATACTTTCTAGGTACAAACTAATATAATATTATCGAATTCACATTTTTAACTTACAGACATAAATTAAAGAAATTAAATGTAAGAAAATCTACCGATCGTTAACGCCATTTGCGTGAATAATTGTATAGCCGTTTTTCTACAAGTATCAGGATTTATATGCTGAGAATAATTGAAAGATTGTTTAACAGTCCTCATAGTAACTCGAAATGGTAACGAGTTTTATTTTGCACTTTATTTTCGAGATGTTAGAAGAAATGAAGAAATGCATCCTTCATCTTCAGATGTTAATAAAGTAATCAGTAAATAGTTAGCCGGCAAGTCTTCTTCTTTCAAAAGTTGGTCGCAGTCTAATCAATTCAAGCTAGGAGAAGAGAATTAAAATATTTACAGTTTGTATTCCGACATGAAAATATAACAGCAATTTGCGATTATTCTATTTCTAGGTTTAGAAAGGGCTTTGATTATTATTATTAGTACACTTTATTATGTAATAATATGCAGAGGATAATTTTGTCTTTTACGTGGTCTGCTTCAACACGGTGAAATAAGAAAATCCGCATCGAATCACCTACAACAACAATACACAAACATTATTATTATGAATTAACTTCACTCCACATTATAGACAGGCGAATTTAGGTGTGTAATTGTGGGTACAATTACACACATTTCTATAGTAAATTAATATTTAAATTATTTATAAATAAAATAATATATTTTTCATAATATAAATCTTAAAAATACTGTCACCAAACTTATTATTAATATTTTCAATATCACTTCACAATAAATTCAAATTTTAAGAGCCAACCAGCAATATTTAAAAATAGAATTTAATGAAGACCTGCATACTGTAAAGTATTGGAATTTGCTCAGCTAAAATTAAATTAAAGTCATAATTAATCGGTTCTACTATTAAACGAAATGAATGTTATAGTAATGTGAAAGTATACAGGAGATTACAGCAATTAATTAATTATTTGATGAAAAATGTGCGTCTGGCTACTGGATTATATGTAGTTTGCGACCAAAGTATTGATTTATTTGTATCTAATAATTGTAGGAGAGAGGAGATGAAATCAGAAGGAAAATTGATTTGGCTGCGGATGTGGAAGTCTTCTTCAATTTGGAAAATTTAATATTTTTTAAGATCAGTCGTAGCACATTAAACCTGCTGTTGACATGTCACAAATTTCCAAAGTAAAATATTTAAGTATATACAGAAATACCTCGCATTGTGCGGCTTCGATCATTCCGGTTTCACTAAATAATAACTGAGTAAAATAAATTCTAAATAAATAAAAGACTTTTTGTCGGAGTCGTTTTTTGGCGTAACCCGCACTATGCGAGGTATTGCTGTATATATTATACATACTTAGAAATTTCACTGCCTACTGCAATATATTATGTAAATAATATTAGCATGTTTCTGTTAGAATTTTTCTTATCAGAATATAGTTTGAAGTAAGATATTAGTTTCTATTCTACTGTAATAGCTTAGTGTTTTGCATTTTTGTTATTAATTAAGTCAAAATAACATACTGCGATTAAAGCTGTGAGCGTGAGTGGGTAGAATTTGCCGATGGTCAAGACAATAGGTTTCTGCAATCTCCTCATGTTCATGATCATCGATTTCTTGAAAGACGTGTTGGCGGCGAACCAATCTGATTCGTATATTCCAATCATCACGTATTGAGCCTTAAATTTAAATCAAAATGTTTTAATTACTTAAATTCAGATAAACTCTTTATTTTTACGTTCAATGTAATTTCATTTCCATAGACGCAGCAAAATGTCAATTGAATGACAACTCCGCCGCAATAGTCAAGTTGCGCAATGAAATTTGGACTGAAAAGAGGCTCCTAAAATTCATTGTAAAAAAAAAAGTATAAATATATTAATATATTAATACAACGACTAACGTAAGACATGATGTAGAGGCAGGAAACTATAGCAAATAGTGTGACCACAGATTGGGCTAAAGTCCCGTAACAGAAAATATCCTCCATATCTTTGCAAACGCTGCAAAAAAGTGTTAATCATATAATGCGAGAAATTGTAGTTCCGTGATGTATATTATTACTCGATGATCATTTGAAGGTGAATGGTAATTTTCTTCATTTCCTTTTCCATCATGTTTGATAACACCGGGTTTTCTGAGTCCCTGAATATTTGGTAATTACTTGGTAATCGCATATTGTGAAAACATCTCGCTCTAATCGTCCTGAAGGCTCCACGAATGTTGACGAAGTGCGCTCTAATATACAGACAGAGGCTGGTAAATTGAAGATCGTAACCTTTAAACAGGTTAGATATTAGATAATAAAAATCAATTGGCTCCACGTGGAAGCACTCACAGACTATTTGATACACGTAGAATTGCATGGGAAAAAATTGGATGAGAAGAGCGGCCGTGCAGTGATTCTCGATGTCGAAAGGAAACCTACTGAAATAAGGCAGAAGCTCTTTGCAAGTCACATTCGAATTTTGAAAATCATCGTCTAAATTCAAATAAATGTAAAATGTTTCGAAAAACTTGGAGAGAGGCACCAGATTCGCAATAGTGAAAAAAGGTATCGCATTCATATAGAACATTTTCTTGTTCGCTTTTACAGCTACCTCGGTATCAAAATCAGGCAAAGTTTCGTACTTTATAGCATCATCTTGCAATAGCCGCTTTATCCTTTCGATTTTCGCCCTGTTCCTATGCAGAATATAAATTTTGAACGATCCCACCAAATGCGTTGTCAGCATCCCAATGTGCTCGATCAAATGAGAGGGTTTCATCACGGTATCTTCAAGTGCTAAAAGTTCTGAACACAAGTAGTAGAATTGGCAGTACAAAATCCAAAATGTATTATACGAATAGTAAAATGCAGTCTTCAAATTTCCATCGGAACTTTGAGGCAAATACAGACCGCACAGTTTTAGCAACCAGGTGTTTATTTCGAAGAAATCTCTCGGTTGTTCGTCCATGTTGCTATGATAATACCACCAAATATTTTAGAAATTTCTTATCTTTATATACGGTTTTCGCGGTTAATACATTCATTTCAGTGCAATTTGATTCGCGTAATTACAAAGCAAGCGATTCCTTATTTGTGTCGCTTCATCTTTTATTCAACTTTGGACCCTCCAACATCAAAGACAATTGCATAAAAATCTACATAGCAAATAGATGCCTTCCGAATACCGGTGTGGGAAAGGAAGTTTATAATTTACCAAATGATTTCTGTTTTTATTTAAACATATTTATCAAGAAATAATTTATATAAATTAACTTAATATTAAAAACATAACAAAATGACATAACAAAAAACAAATCATTACATAATTAACTAGTTAACTTCTGTATTTTGAATTGATATAATCGTTATTTTAAAGACATAACATTTTATCAATAAACACTTTACGACATTTTCTAGAACCAACGCGAATTTAATCTCATCAAATACATGCTAGAACATTTAGTTTTGTCACAAAATAAGACAAGAGTTGCAAAAAAATAACAAGAATTAACTTTGATATTCATAATAATTGAAATATTTTTAAACTTAAGACACATTATTTATTAACAATATATTCTAAGTACAAAACTAATGTTATATTATCAAATTCACTCATTTAACTTTTTTGTATAATAATAAAATATTTCGATTAAATTTTGCAATCTAGATAAATAATTTGAGATAACTTAAAAAAATTAAATTTATCAAAATTTGCCGATCGTTATGTGAAAATTAGTTAATTCTACCGATTAGAAATAATAAAAGAACGTAAAGTTGATTATCATTTACATTATTCAATTTTAATTGCCTTAATTAACTACTAATATATTGGAAAATGTCCACATAATTATAAATAAATTAGTGAATCCGTCATTTTTCTCATTAAAGATGCAATACATTTTTGATGCAAAAGTATTCTAAACACATTGTTGTTATTATCTTGAGATATTCGTAGAATGTCCCCGAGGCAACGTAACAACCATTAAAATGCAATTAACTTCTTTAAGTGGATTACATCCAAAATCGACGGATCGAAAATCATCAATATGCAAACACATATGTAATATCAGTGATTACAAATTTTTGAGATTTTTGCGGAAACCGAATTGGATCGTCCCACCGGATGAATAATTCCAGCGTAAATACCGATGCGAGCGTTTAAATGCGACACAAACATCATGAATATGATGATTATCCGAAACCAAAATGTCGGAATCGGAGGATCCGAACGTCGTTTTGGAGAATTACTTCCACTGGAATTTGTTCATATTGAAGACGTGCGGATTGTGGATTCCCAAATCCGATGAACCGAAAAGATTTTGGAGATATCTGCAAATTTTAATAATATTTAGCTATATTTTGGTTTATCAACCGAGCGAATTTGCTGTGATGTTTATAACACCGAATCTTGAAACTGTTGTTCGTTGTTTGAGGGATACTTTGAACCACGTGATTTGCATATACAAAGTGATTCGTTGGTTTTCCTACAGGAAAGAAATAATTAATTTGATGAAAGTCCTGAAGAGAATCGATTACGAGGAGCTGGGGTTCTTTGACGCATCTAAAATCATCAAGAAGCATAAGAAAGAAGCGGATGTTTGGATCCTGTTGTTCCTGGTTTTCGTTAACACCATTTGCGTGAATATGTGTATAGCCGTTTGTTACTCGTTTTTCTTCAAGTATCAGGATTTGTATGCAGAGGATAATGGAAAAATTGTTTACGCTCAAAAATTACCAGTCATCATAGTAACTCCATTCGAAATGGTAACGAGGACGAGTTTTATTTTGCACTTTGTTTTTGAAATTTTACCTCTCGACATATACGCCTGGATGATCGTGGGTAAGTTAACTAATAATAACCTTTTAATCAAATTATTAAGATTATCCGCAAAGGTTTGGACGGTTTATTCACCAGCTTGATGAGCTGCATTGCAGCGCATTTCTGCGTCCTTCAAGAAGCCTTACGCACTATCAGACCCAGATGTTTGAAGAGATTATTCTTAGCAAATAACGAAAACACCATTTACGATTCAAATCAGTTGAACGCCGAGATGTTAGAAGAAATGAAAAAATGCATCCTTCATCTGCAGATGTTAATAAAGTAATAAGTAAATAGAATAGATTGAACAAATACTTAGTAAATATAATTGCAGATCTTCGGCGATTTTAGAGAAGATCTACAACATACAGACGTGCGGTCAAGTGATGGTTTCGCTCTTCGAAATGTGCTTTTGCTTGTATCTACTCACCTCAGTAAATACTCATACTCGCTCTCTAAATCATAAGTTTAACTACTCTTTCGTAGTCTTTAGATGCGGATGTTGGGTCAGAGTTAACTTACTTAGTATCAACGAGTTTCGAATTATTGCTTTACTGCTGGTTCGGGAATGGAGTTACAGAAGCCGTACGTCCAAAATCTCTTTATCCATTATATTCTGTTTTCAGCTATCATCATCTGTTTGTTTGTTTGTTTCAGAGTGTTGCAATACCTGATGCAATTTTCAAAGGCGATTGGCTTTCGTCCAGTCGCGAATTCAAGAGTTGCATGCTGATAACTATGATTAGGATGAGACGACCGATTTACATGACGATTGGAAAATTTACACCGTTGACTTTCACCGTTTTCCTATCAGTGAGTAGATTTTACACGAAATAAATACCATTAACTTTTAGCAAATTACATAAGAATTTACAGGTTATTTACAATATTACAATCAATCCTACTATTAATATATCCCGCGTAATATGAAAACCGCGAGAAACTCAAAATTAGTCACATCAAATTAATTCGTATCGAGTTGTATGGAAACCTTCTTTAACCAATTAAGTCCCCTTCCAAAATGAAAATCTCAATCCATTCTTTAACCATATACTTGTATCAATTAAAGGCATGCATTCCTCTTCATCCAAACTTTAGTGTATCTTCCGGAAATAGTTCTTAAGCTAAAATTTTCTTAAGTTATATAAAAACCGCGTTTAAGCTATTCTCTTTTTTGATATTGTTTCAATTGTCTGAAACTAATTAATAATGCAATATAAAAATTAAGGACGAACTGTTAACTGCTTCTTGTTAAATAACCTTAATCAATAAAATGCTAAATATCATATATGTAGCGAAAATCTTCGAAACTTCCGTAAATATCGTTATCGGTCAAAGCTACTTATTTGTTCAATAATCAAAGAATTATTATATCAGTATTACACATGAGTAATATAAATAACAACAATCTAAATTTAACGCCTCAAGAAAACAATATTTTTACCTATTACTTTTGCCAATGGCAAACTAAATTTTAATTAAACAAAATTAAAAAAAAATACTACACAAAATTATTTCTTATGTGCAGAACCCAAACTATATGAGATACTTATACTATATTTCTATTATCGTAACATAAAATATCTAACTTTAATTTTATCTTATTTTTTTTTAATTGCCAATTTTAACAGTGGTTTATTTATTTAAATTGATTATGATAAAGTATTTTATTATATCTAGAACAGTGATTATACTTAATTAGTAGTTAGAATTGATATAGTTCATATATTATATTTAAAAAAAAAACTTTAAACTAAAGTTCATCCACTTTGACTTATTACATTTTTAACTTTGATATGACTGGCTGATAGAAACGTTACAAAGCAAATTATCAAACTTTATCAATGAAAAATTTAGATTGCAGTTTGCGTATCCTCTAATTAATGTAATCGTTGCAGGAATTATTTATTGAATAAAAACGGTAATCAATTCTAAAATTACACAACAAAAAATTTACTTTAAAAATTTGCTAAAACTTAACATTGTGATTAAATTTTTTAGAAAATAGTTTACTTTAACTATATTTGAATTCAATAATAAGTAAATAGCAAAAAATGAATAACTTTAGTTCATTGGTGAATTGTATTTGAGATGTAACTAATTGAAATTTCATTTTCAGATTGGAAGAGCGGCGTATTCGTTCTTCACCGTGTTGAAAAGCAGCTCATTTTAATACGATATTTGCGTTTCAAAATCACGAGATTATAATTTTTTGCTAAATATTCGTCAGTAGCGAGTAGTTTCTTTGTTTATTATGTAGATGTAATTTGATGCTAATGAAGTCTGTTACCACGGAAAGAGAAAAGGCTAAGCCAGAACAAAAATACAACGTATCTATCATTAAATACGTATAGAACGAAATGAAGAATAAACTTATGTAACTAAAACCGATGGAAACGCGGAAAACCAGTTATGCGAATTATTTAAATGCCAATGTGTGTGGCGTGATACCAATGGTACGATTGGTTGCCAACTGACATTAATAATTAATTAAAGCAGACATTGAATGAGTCTAAGGGATTTGCGCCCTTCGTCGTAGCTCTCGCCACGAACTCGCTCTTTAAACAATGACTTTTTTAATCTGTCCGTGCGTGAATTCGCAGGACGACATTTATATTTAGTTTAATGATAGCTGATAGTAGATTGGCCTCAGAGGTCAGTCAGTTAATTTGAGTAAACGAGTTTCTTCGCTTTTAATAATATTATATAAAGGCGACCGGGACTCGGCAATCTGCATACACGACGAAGAAACAACCGTGGCAAGTGCGAAGCATAAGAAGTCTCTCTCTCGTCCTTTTTTTTAATCCACAAAAACCGGTGAAGTTTTCGTAGTTTCTACTACTCGCTTATTGATTAACAGAAGTTGCGAAAATGATGGGACCACAGAAAAAAGTCGCCGGAAATCCAGACGATGTGGTATGACACAGTTTTACATTATTTTTTATAATATTTTGCAAAAGATAACTCAAGAATAAATCAACAAATAAACTAAAATTATCAAATGTTATAATGGAATTTCTATGCTTAAAATAGATTTAACGAAGCAACCACAAAAGTTCAAAAATTCACTTAATAAAATTATATTATTTTTTTGTAACATTATTGATTTTTTTACCAAAACAAACGTATTATTTCAAATTACATTATTTATCGATACTTGAAACTATTTTACAAGTAAAATGTATACTATAACTAATATAAATTACCTTTTCCTTAACTTAAACCGATATATGAAGTTATTTTATTGTTCTTTGAAAATTTAACAAAACAAACTTATTTTTATAAATTGCATTTTAAAAACTAAATATAATCAGTTTTTTTAATAGATTAATACATTGTTAATATTGAATAATGCCAAAGTTGCTATTATAATTGTTATTGAAACATCCTTTGTTAGTAAATCTAAATAATAAAGCAGTCTAAAACCTATGATGATCCTAACATTGTATGCATTTTATAGCAAAAATCTAAATTTGTTTATATATTTTTATTTTGTTTTTGATGTTATCACCGATTATCGTAACCTAGTTTTCATTTTGGTAGAGGAATCTTCGAAAATAAAACGGAAACTACGATTCGAATTCGTGTCTCCGTCCGACTAATTTTCATATTAATTTCTAAATTATTCCGTCCGAACACGTCTTTACATTCTCGCTTCGAGAGTTTCAAAACTGAAATCTTTAACAAAAAAAAATGATATTATTTAACAATAAAAGCATTTGCTTACATTTTTGCCATGATGAAAATGTACGTTTTACATTACTTAATTTCTTCTACTGTTATGAATTTTGTAATAATTTGAGCATTAGAATGAGAAACATTATAAAGTTTATTTGTTTTCATCCAAAATTGACCACAATTGTTACATAACTTCATACAAATATTTCTGAAAATTATAAATTATTGGATATTTAAGCTATTGTTAGTGTTTATATTAATTGTTTTATTGTTCATCTTATTTTAATTATTTTTTCTTTACTCAAACTATTTAGATTTGTGACGTTCCACAGTTGTCACAGTTGATTGCATAAAAGTAATGAAATGATATTCACCGACTTGCAATTAAATAAAATATATGTTTATTTCTTCAGTTCGTTCAGTTTGTTACTAAATATGTGAAAACATAACACAATTATTGAATATCTATATAATATTTTTCAGCTGTTATTATTTCAGATATCTTGATTTAATTCAATTCGCATCGAATGATAATAATATATTTCTGGAATCCAAATGTCGCCGCAGCAGCGACTTCATAATTATCGACTTGAAACGTAAATCGCGGTGATTAATTAAGGAAACAATACGTTTATTTGGAAATGCCAAGGATATGAAATATTGACGAATCTCTTCTGTACTTGTTTTCGATGATTCGTGCATGAAACAAGGCACATGCGTCACATGATTATAAATAAACGGAGCAAATATAATACACAATGCCGATTTTGAAGTTGCATAATTCGGCTGCAGATAATTGATGGATTTCGGATTCGTGTCGTCGTTTGGTGAATTCATAAAAAATTCATTGAAAACACGAGAAACACGTGAGAATTAATATTTGATTCGTGAACCTCGGCTACCGTTACTTATTTTTTTATATGGTTTTAGGTGATTTCTGATCGTTTCTGGTATTCGTTACAAACAATAATAATGTATAATTAATGATAATTCGTAAAAACAAATTTAAATATATTTATATGACATTTTCATTCTTTTTTTTATTTCCAATGGAATTTTAAGTAGTATACATATAAAATTATTTGGTTTTTGTATAATTAATTTTTTTGCATTATATAAATTTTATTTAGAAAATTAGTGACTAAATCGATATTTCCCAAATTTTAAAAAGATAATATATTCACAACAAATATCAGTTTGTATGATTGCTAAGTTTTGTTCACAAACTATTTAAAAAAGAGAAGAATCGGATTTCTCCAAAAGGCATAAGAGAAATTATGAAATCATTAAAGAAAATAAAAAAAAATCTTCATTATATGAAAATCCGCGGTTTTCAAACTATGGGGTTTAACCCAAGCGTCAAAAAAATGTACTGAGTCGCAGTACAACTTATATTTCGAAGCTGGGAAACATTACACCAGTGTCATTGTTATCATTATGTTATTATAAAATAACATTAACAATTATTGATAGCGATTTAATTTTGTACAATTCATCGTAAGATATTTATTGTGTGTAAACAAGTAAAAAATAATAAATATTATGAAACCTTTGTGTACTAATACGTTGCATTTTATTTACGTTGTGTGTCATATTACATTTCAATAACAATCTCTAAAATTACAAAATATTCCGTAACAAGATTCACTTTCCAACGTTTTTTTTTTGTAATTATAATTGATACGCATATTAATCTACACGGCTGGCTTGAATTGTGAATGGGCTAAGCTTATTGGACATTTCCATACGTAATAAGCTACAATTATCTGTTTCTCTTTCCTTCCTGCTGATCTGTAACAATTTGAATGATGCAAAGGCCAATTTCTGCTACGCTTTTTATACCAATAATTAAATTAATGATGATTATCCAATGATTTGATCGATGTATTCAAAATAATTTAATTAATAAATTAGAAAATATTGTTAATAGAAGGAAATGTAACAAAAAGAAAGAGCAAAGTTTCAATTTATTGCAAATATCCGATAACAAATTTGTTTTGTAAACAGTAGTTTACGTAAAAGGTTCACGCGAAAACATATCAATGCGCGTTAATAATATTTAAAAAAAACAGTAGTTTCTATTTCAGTTTCTTGTGTATATTAGCTCAGATTTAGTGTTAAATTCGCTCTCACTGCTGCAGTTTTTCCTTGTTGTAATTAATTCTCGCGCTTCGAAGTAATTAACAGCAATTACTTCCTTAGACACCTGCAGTTGCCAATTATTTTTTTGTTGAAGCGTTTAAGGTCATCTATCTCTTTGTGGTCGAGTTTTGTGATGCAAAGTAGTTTTGATATTGCATGGCGTATCTTGTGTTCTGGGTTTTTTTTCCTTAATTGCCCCGTTTCGTCAGAATTCACGAGTGATTTGCTCTCCTTCTTTATTAAATAAAAAGTAGTTATAGACGTGTAGAAAAACGTAGTAAATGATTTGAGTGTATAAAACTTCGCAATATCAATCGTAGCTGTTCAGTGTATTGCTATCGTTTGGTGGAAGCGAATTCTTGTGAAGAAAAAAAAATGGTTTTCGAGTATATAGATTCGGTGCTAAACGATGTAAATTTCGATTTTTCATTTATTTAATTCAAATTTTTATTTCAATTATTTTTTTTTAGCCGATACTGATGCCTGGTGGAAATTATATCAAAGTTGGAAAGGACTCGGCTCAAAGCATCTACTTGATTTTTTCACCACATTCTGAAGAAGTCGGAATCCTGGCTAGATATTTGAAAATATTTGAAAACCATCGTGTTAATTTGTTCCACATCGAATCCAGAGCTTCCACGAGGATGCCAAATAAGTATGAGTTCGTGGTGGAATGTTGTCCTGATGGAGATATCGAAGCAGCGATAAGCGATATTAAGGATCTGAGCGATTACTTCAACATTATCACCAGAAATTATAAGGACAACAAGGGTATGTTTCCTAGTATTTGTAATATGAAATGATTAATTGGGATTTGTGTTTAGAGTCGGTGCCGTGGTTCCCGAATCGCATCCGAGACTTGGATCGCTTCGCAAACCAGATTTTATCTTACGGCGCAGAGCTTGATTGCGATCATCCAGGATTCACCGATCCCGTTTACAGAGCGAGGAGGAAGTATTTCGCTGATATTGCATATAATTACAAGCACGGACAACCGTTGCCTCACGTCGATTACACCAAGGAGGAGATCGATACTTGGGGACAAGTCTTCAGGCAACTCACCAAGCTGTACCCGACTCACGCCTGCAAGGAGCACAACCACGTTTTCCCACTTTTGGTTCAAAACTGCGGATACAGGGAGGACAACATCCCGCAACTCGAGGACATATCCAACTTTCTGAAGGGTAATTTGCAGTACAAATAACATTTTAAAGTAATAATAATAACATTAATTTCTGCGCAGACTGCACCGGTTTCACTTTACGCCCAGTGGCAGGACTCCTTTCGTCTCGCGATTTCCTCGCCGGTTTAGCCTTCAGGGTGTTCCATTCCACGCAATACATCAGACACTCCAGCAGACCACTCTACACCCCGGAACCGGACGTCTGTCACGAAGTTCTCGGACACGTGCCACTCTTCGCCGATCCATCTTTTGCCCAGTTCTCCCAAGAAATCGGTTTAGCCTCTTTGGGAGCCCCAGATGATTACATCGAGAAATTGGCAACGGTATTTCAAATGCATCTCAAACGATTTCTATAACTAACTTTTCGTTGCTTGCAGTGCTTCTGGTTCACGGTGGAGTACGGTCTGTGCCGCGAAAACGGACAACTGAAAGCCTTCGGCGCCGGGCTTTTGTCCTCCTACGGAGAATTGAAGTACGCACTCGAAGACAAAGCCGAAGTTCGTCCATTCGAACCGGCAAAAACGGCCCTCCAAAAGTATCCCATCACTGAGTACCAACCAGTCTATTACGTTGCTGAAAGCTTCGAAGACGCCAAAGATAAAATGATGTAATTTTAACAATCCCATTAACAAAATATTCTGTTTTGCATTACAATTTTATCTTTCTAGCAAATACGCATCAACGATTCCAAGAGGGTTTGGAGTCCGCTACAGCGCTTACACCCAAAGCATAGATGTTCTGGACTCGAAGCCACAGATCGAAGGTCTTATCACCAACATTAACCAGGAGATGCAGATCTTGATGGATGCTCTGAAGAAATTGTAGATACAAGTTGCATTGCTACAATATATTAAAAACACGTAGATATTAAGATTTCTTTTAATGTAAAATGATTTGTTTTTTAATAGTGCATATTTACCGATAATTATTATTATATATTATAATATACATGATAATTATATGCTTAAGTTCGTGTTAGGCGCAATTAATATTTTGTAAGTTTTATGATAAAAACGAAACATAAATATGTATAGTCTGATATTTGTAAAAATAAAATAAACATTGTTACTTTGAATACTATTCATTTTAAATACACTTCATTTCAATGATTTTATTTAAGTATTTGGTGACGTCTCCAAAAACAATTTAACGTTCCCGAATTACCACGTTTACTATATTTCTGTTTACAATAAATAATTTCAATTATCTAAACTAATTCGTTTATCTACGCGTTACTTGCAAAGTTGTTATATAATTACTGGCAAAATAAGTTGGTTGTCATATTTTGTACACCTAAAACAATTTTTTTTCATAATTATTTATAGTTATAACACTTTAAAACTTCTTTAACGTATGGAGATTAATTAAGTTGATATCAATCAAATTTAACGATTTTATTTCAAATAATTTAAACTAATTTTATTAATTAATTATAATTGAATTACATTCACATTTCGAATGAGTCATATTAAAATTTTATATAATAATTATTTGTTCGAAAAAAAATGAATATTTACGTAAAACTGCACATTTAATTTGTATGCGTAATTATTTGTCTTTTTTTTGATTACTTTTTAGTGGTAATATTTGGGATGTTCTAGTTTGTTTGTTGATTTATATTATCAAAAATCTTTTATTTTCTGGTTCAATACACAAAATAAATGTTTACACTTGCTGAATCTAAATGTACACTAATAATTATTATCACACAAGCAATTAAATTACCCTCTGGCATTACGCGAAAAAGTGTACACTTACACATAAACATGATATTGGCACAATAACACTAAAATTATCCGGTGTAACTGTTTTTCTTTGGCTTATTCGATGCGACGATCGGTATCTACTATTCATCGGGAGAGGTGAACACCAAATTCTGGGTTATAGGTATCGTTATTGGTACAGATACAGTTGGAACGACGACTGAAGGTCCTGCAAGTGCAGCAGGAATCCCAGCCATTGTCGTTGTACTGCTTACGGTGCTGGTATTGTAATTGCTCGAGGAGACCTTCAGAAAAAGAAAAACTTTTTATCTATTACGATAAAAAAAAAAGTTTTAGGAAACTTGCATTGCATTGAGCTTGCGTTGATGGTAACAATCCTAATCGGGCCATCAGGAGCTGCTCCGAAACCCTTCTCAGTTCAGCTTGCTGCTGGCCGATAACAGCTTGGAGTTCTGCGTGTTTTCGTTGTAAATCTGCTTGCATTTGATTGTGTATCTGAGAAAACCCTATGTTATCAATTACCTAAAAATATAATAATATTCTCTATGAGAACTTGCAAGAACCAATTTGAATGTACAGGTACTCCTGACTTTACGACCTATCTGCTTAACGACAACTCGTACTTACGACCAACGGAGTTTTGACCTATAAATGAATTTAAAGTTTTCGGGATAATTTTTGTAATCTTACAACGATCTTTTGTTCCCGGCACAAGCTCCTCGGAACTCGGTAATAAAGTGAGGAGTACCTGTACAGTATTTATGTTTGTAGGTAATATAGAAAAGGAAATTGAATTGAGATTTGGTTAGTAAATACCGTATTAAAAAAAATGCAAGGGTCTTGTATCACCTGATCTGGACGGTAAAGAATATTTACCGGAAGTGGCGATAGAACCGCCGGAGAAGCAAAATTAGTAATCACAGGTTGAACAGGAATCGCCGCGACGTACTGTGGAGGTTCCATAAATGTTGGGGCTACGATGGTCTGCGTAGATTGAGTAGGGACATTAACTGAGACGCCGCCACTAGTCCGTGTTTTCTGAAATGAAGACGGCTACAATTAAGTAATAATTTGAACTTTTTTTTTTCAAGTTATTTACCACCGAATATTCTGACATCACCGAGTGTCTGGATGTTGGAGAATCTGCGCTCATAGAAGTGCAATCTGAAGAAGGCCCGTGGCATACTCGACTTCTAGAAGTCCTCGATTTCCAAGACTTCGAAGAGTTTTTATTGTTCGGTGAGGATTCAATTAAAAGCTCGATATTTTCCTCGTTTTTGATGTTCTGTTTCATAACATTCACGTAGCTAAAAGTACCCAATTTATATTATTCTTTTAAAAGTGCGATCAATAAGCATACCTAACAACGCGATGCGTGCAAACGACAAATTCCGGTTTGGAATTCCACTGATGGTATGTTATGTAAAATCTAGTTTGAAGCCAAATCCATTGTTGACCTTTTGTTAGAAACCTGTAATAGCAGGAAGTACCTTCACCCTTTTGCATCAACGCCTCGTGACATCCAACCACCCTTTCAAGATCATCGGTGTGGTAGTAATCGTAACCGGAAGTGCCCAACAGCTCGAACGGAAAGTAACCGATTATCGGTGGCGCTCGATGATCTATGAACAGGAACTTCCACTCCAAGCTGTGCCGAGAAATGAATTCCGTGTTGCTGGAGTCTATTAAGGGCATCTCTCGAATTAGCTGCGGCGTTTGCAACCTCCCCGTGCCAACGAAAACCAATCTAGAAGCGTTTCAAATTATAATTAAGAAATGCTCTTCAGTGAACGCGAGGAAAACTACCGGGAATCGGCTTCTCCAGAATATCCGCTATGCCTGGAGCTGTCCGTTTGTACCATATCCGTATCAGAACCTAATGAATTAAAGAAACGTTAGTTGTTAAACGAAAGTAACTGTAAATTGACCTCAAGCCGTTGCATTATGCAACGTTCACGCGACAAGCAAAGAATGCAGAGCCAAGGTCGCAAAGAAAGTGCAACTGGATTTATATACATATTTTTATAATATACGTATCTCTTATACAAAACGGTACGTTTACAACACAGTCTCACTCTAACACGATTTGATAATTATACCTAATGTTTCATAACATAGTACATAGTCACTGAAGGGAAAGTCCCTAGTTCTGTTCACTTGCAATAAGCATTTAGTTTAGTGATGGAATTTTTGGTATAATACAAAAGTATTATAATTTTACTATCAAATTCTCATATGTGAGTAATCCATATCAAACTATTAAAAAATATATATACGCAAATAATTAATATATTTTTTAAATAGTTTTCTTAGGTATCTCATATATCTTCAAGCTATGTATGAAAAATACATTAAGTATAATATTTTTGATAGATTTTGAATTGTAATTATTTATTAATTATTAGTCACACATAATATGGTTTCAATTTTGCGATTTGTATTTAGTTGTAACCGAAGTATCATCCGAATTTTCCCGTATTGTATTAGCGATAGCTATTTATATATATATCGAAATAATCAATAAAATTTCAGTCCAACATTCGACTCACGGAGATACCCCTCAAAATGGACGAGCTCGTAAAAACTGGAGGATTGCCTGGCATCCGATCCGCCTCTCCTCAAATAGCATGAAAATGACAATTTGTTTTCTTCCTCTGCGGGACCCATCAACGTGTTATACAATTCGCCCTGCTCGTCATCATTGACCAACTCGTACAATGTCATTCCCAATAGGTCGCTCTAAAAATTGAGAGAAAAATCAATGCTCGAGTAATTTCGCTCAGCCGGATTCCAACCCACTGGTAAATGTCCCAATAATGAAGTAATGCTCTCCGAAGCATAGAATATCTGCCCGGACGTTGCGAATACCATAATGAAACCATCGACAGCCTCCAAGACCAAATGCGTGAATTCTTCGTTTGTTAGAAAGGTCGGTTTCCACTCTTCCTGGATCTCGTGAACGCGCGACCTTACGGCCACTTCTGCAGGCCATTAATATAAGTTAATAATCAATTAACCTTTAACTAAACCCCCCTCCCACACACATTAAAGCATAATTTCATCGCATCCCATTACCGTTATGATTTTTGAGGAAGGAAATCGTCGCTTTCAGCACCGTCGACTTATCCATTTTCCTGCCGCCGCTGGACACCATCACGCTCAACTCGTTCACCAGCAAATTGAATTGATCCCTCCGCTTCTTCTCGCTCAAATTTCTGGACTTACTTGAAATATTAAAAAAAAAACAGAAAATTTATCGATTTATACCAAAACTCAAAGATAACTCAATAATATCCAACTTCTAATTACACACATGCCTAAATGAAAAACGCACAAAAGCTAAGTTTTGAATAAATAAACGATAATTACCGTTTCGAATCTTTGTCATCAGAGTCATCGTCCATAACGTCACTGCATAAATCAAACAATATTTTAATTATGCGCTTGTTATCTACAGTTACTTTTTGTGTGTAATTCCAAAAAAATACACTTAATATCTTTTCCTCAGAAATACATTTAAATTTAAAAAAAAATTAAAGATTTGAGGTTGCGGAAAGTCGATTCGTGTCCTTATAAATTAAAATGTCATTGATCACTGCTGCTAATTGTGGCAATGTTTCAATTAAAATGCCGCACCTCTTGTTTTGCTGCGATTTTATTGGAATTACCGTTAGAGTCCCTTGAAATGCTTTGCATTTCAATCTACACACACACACATATTCTAACCGTACACGACAACGTTCTAATTAATTACGTTGATATTGAAATTTTGCAATAATCATGACCATCATCTAAACCAGGGTTTCTTAAACTTTTCCTGCAACGAAACACTTTGTAAATCCTGAAATTTTCGCATACACATTAATCAATAAATAATTTAAAATAAACATTCTAAATACATAATATTTAATAATTATTTCATTTCAGGTTTTCACGGAACACCTATTAACCTAATGGAAGATAATTTGGCTAATTTGATATCAACCTTTCCAATGAAATTAATACAGTTTTACTACAAACAAATTACAAATGTTAGCTTACTAATTGTTATCAAATAGATTAGTGTTCAGATGAATTAAGTGTATTTTAGTTAAAGGATATATTCCTTACTCGGATCGTCCGGCGGTGCTCCTCCTAATATGAGACATTTCCGCGTCGTTGGTTCGCCTTTATTTTCAACTTATCCTTCCAACACATAAAAAGGGCCTTCCGAAGATCACCATCACCGTGGTTGTATGCGATATCAGCAGGGTACGAAGCCCAGCGACTACTTCCTTCCGTCCTTCTGCAAAATGCGTTCAAACGCATATTTCAAACCATCCGACCATCTGTCCCGTTTTACATTCACGTGAACCAGCAAAAAAAACAATTAAAATATGGAACACAATCCTCGACCGGTGTACACTAATTAGCGAATCGCGTACTTTACGGATATATGCAGGACAGACAATCTGGTAGGATAAAAAGGATTATAGCGCGCGTCTTTCACGTCCTCGCACTTGGTCCGCTAACATACTACATACATATTATATGCTGTTGTACATGCGCTCTCTGTATCTATTATCAGTCCATAATCAATCGTAATATTCAGGTGCAGGTACATTGGAAGGGGGAATTCTTCCCAGGTTGACAACAAGCCCTCCTTTCACATAAGAGCGCCACTGAACGGGGCAACAGGTTGCAACAGTAATATATCACGTTCACTAACAGATGGAATCTATTTACCTACATTTAATATTAATCATTTATCAGATACACAATTACAAATATTTCAAATTAAATCTAATGTGTTTAGTTATTCAATTATCTTAAATAAATCTTAATACTATAACAAAAATCGTATTGTTTATTATAAACTACAAATGAAATTTTCTAATTAAACAAAATATTATTATTTCATGTAAGACCTTCATTCTTATATCTATTCTTGTACATACTTTTACTTTACACGAATCCATTAATATTTAATGCATATGGTATTAAGTGCTTCTTTAATGTTTCTACTTATCATCAATGCATTTAATTATTAACAATTATGAACATTATGCAAGAAGAATTCCCATATATATTTATAAGCAACACGTGTATTTTTTTTATTTTTGCATATTAGTTTGTCATTTAGTCATAATTTGAATTATCGTTTATTTAAGCTTCGAAAAAGTATTTACATTTTTACTTATATCTCATCAAGTATGTGCGATAATTTATTGTAGAACAACCAAATTAAAGCAAAATATTAAGTCTATAAAATGTATGTACTATAATTATTATATCCTTTTTTATTTAGCCGTCAAAGTTGAAAAGTTTCGAAAAAGTAGTGTCTTTACATTTTTGCAAATATCTCAACAAAATAGAAGCTAAATATTCACAATATTCAAACTCAAAGAAATGTTTTTTTATGCTTCGAAAAACAGTATCTTTACATTTTTGCTTATTTCTCAAAATTCATGGTAGACAAATTCAACATTGAGCAACCAAAGTAAAGCTGAATATTCAGACTTTAAAATTTGTGTACTGGCATTGTTACATCTTTTGTAATTTAGACGCAGTGTCTTTACATTTTTGCTTATTTCTTAAAATCCATAGTAGACAAATTCTATATAGAGCAACCAAAGTAAAGCTCAATATTCAGACTTTAAAATGTTTATACTGGCATTGTTGTATATTTTGTAATTTAGACGCAGTGTCTTTACATTTTTTGCTTATTTCTGAAAATCCGTAGTAGACAAATTCTATATAGAGCAACCAAAGTAAAGCTCAATATTCAGACTTTAAAATGTGTGTACTAGCATGGTTGTATATTTTGTAATTTAGTCGCAATACACTGTTAAACTTGAAGAAACGTTTTTTTTAAGCTTCAAAAGTATAAGAAATGTTAGTTGAAAAATGATATTTTGCGGGAGAGACACAAATTTTAAGTTCCACCACTGAATTTTATCTTAAACTTTGTGAATGCTAAGACAAATCGATTTTGTTCTACCAGAATGGATATCTATCTTTTATTATCTGTTTATAATTAGAAATTGAAATCGAGTTACAAAAATTTAAATTACTTTTGCATAGAATGTATCTCTGAATTTGGTAGGATCATTTCTACGAGAAATCTATTTAAAATCTGTCTACTCAAATTATTAAAATTACATCATATACAACGATAAATATGCTATTATTATTACAAAAATATCAATTATATTGCTGAATATATAGCAATTTAAAAATTTAAATATAATATTAAAGTTGGTAACAATGATTTTTTGGCAGATAGTGAGAAGAAGAATAGTTGACAGGCATAAAAACAATTGAAGAAAATAGTAAATAATTATATTCAGTAGTGTCTATCAAAATGCCGCTTCCGCTGCAATATAATTTATATCAAGTAAGTACTAATGATTAACCTATGAGGATGCAGAGACTGTCATTAATGCATTAACAAAATGTTATTTTAATGTAGAGTTCTGTGGAACCCATGCAAGTTGATGCTCCAACAGAGGACAATGACAATAATGAAGAAGAAACCTACACTGTGGAAAATCCCTCCCTAGATTTAGATGTTTACTCAAATAGCTACACTGGTTTGGCAAAATTATATCGCTTAATATACATAGTCAATCACTGCCCCAGCTTACGTTTGGAAGCTCTGAAGATGGCCATTACCTATGTGATGACAACTTACAATGTTAATCTGTATCAGATGCTTCATCAAAAACTATCAGAAATAACATCAAGTGCAGGTTTGCCTGATATTGCAGTGCAGCCGGGCTCCTCACAGGATGTTCCTGCAATAGATGGAAGCTGGATGGAATCCAGATCCAAAAAGGCAGCTATGAAACTTGAAAAGCTTGATACAGATTTGAAGAACTACAAATCGAATTCTATTAAAGAGAGCATCAGGAGAGGCCATGATGATTTAGGTGACCATTATCTAGACTGTGGTGACCTATCCAATGCATTAAAATGTTATTCAAGAGCCAGGGATTACTGCACCAGTGGCAAGCATGTTGTAAACATGTGCATGAATGTCATTAAAGTTTCGGTGTATCTCCAGAACTGGTCACATGTTCTTAGCTATGTATCCAAAGCTGAAAGTACACCGGATTTTACTGAAATGCAAACGAAAGATTCAAATCAGCACATAGTTACAAAATTGAAATGCGCTGCTGGTCTGGCCGATCTCGCCACAAAGAAATATAAATCAGCTGCTAAGAATTTCTTGCTTGCCAATTTGGATCATTGCGATTTTCCTGAACTAATCTCGCCGAATAATGTGGCAATGTATGGAGGTCTCTGTGCTTTAGCTACCTTTGATAGACATGAGTTGCAGAAGAATGTTATCTTTAGCAGCTCATTTAAACTTTTCTTAGAACTAGAGCCACAATTGAGGGACATCATATTGAAATTCTATGAATCAAAATATGCTTCTTGTCTGAAACTTTTGGAAGAGATCAAAGATAATTTGCTACTGGACATGTATATTGCTGCACATGTTAACACACTTTACATGCAGATCAGAAATAGGGCCTTGATTCAATATTTCAGTCCCTATTTATCAGCAGATATGCGAAAAATGGCAACAGCTTTCAACAGGACTGTAAATGCTTTGGAAGATGAACTCATGCAGTTGATTTTAGAAGGACAGATACAAGCAAGAATTGATTCACACAACAAGATTTTGTTTGCTAAAGATGTAGATCAGAGGAGCACAACATTTGAGAAAACTTTGCAGATGGGTAAGGAGTATCAAAGAAGGACTAGAATGCTTATCTTAAGAGCTGCTGTACTGAAAAATAAAATTCATGTAAAGGTAAGGATGTCTGTGAATTGACAAATACAATTTCACTAATTATTTTTATTTTGTAGAGTCCACAAAGGGAGACTTCAGGTCAAAGTGGAGAAATTACTGTTGCTCCAGGAACAAGCTCTGTAGCTAGGAATTAAGTGTATGTTCATAATTATAAAGTATATAATAAAAGCTTCTGTAATTTATAATATTGAATATTTTTATTTTTTCTATTTAATATTAATGCAAAGTTGCTAACTTCATTTTTTGAAGGTATAATCAATGTTATTGCTGTATTTGTTGAAATTTTAGGGAAAACTGTTACATCACTATTGAAATTAAGAAATTACATGCCTTGATTTCTTTTGTTAGATTTTACAGTAATAATTAGGTATTAAGTAATCAATATTTGAAATACCGCTGTGGTGGCAACATTGGATTAAATAATTCTGACACTTCGATTCCAGGGCAGAAGTTGCTTTAGCAATTCCAACTAATTTTAATAATTCCTTGTTACCGAAATATCGGCAATTTAACGATGGCTTCGAATTTAACCAAAGTCACAATGTTGAGGGCCGTTCAAGTGAGTTATAATGATATATTTCGATAATTTGCAATCGACTTTTGTCACATCAGACATGTTATGTAAACCCCCTTAAATCACATAACCTTTATATAAATATATTATTTCAGTCCCGTGGCTTTTGCCAGGCAGCCCCAATTGGAGGAATTGCAAACTACGACGTTCAAACTTCAATTTTGCCAAATAAAACTGTTGTGGCATCTGGTGAAAATGGATCAGCTATCTGCAGGGTCTCTGTAGTGTTCAAGTAAGACAAATACATTCCAATTGGATTATATGGGATTGCTTATTGTGTATTACTTTTAGAGCTGGATCTCGTAATGAGTCTTTTGATAATGCTGGTGCTGCTCATGTGCTCCGTATTGCTGCTGGACAATCCACAAGTAATGCAACCAACTTCTCTATCATGCGTAATATACAACAAGTTGGCGCCAACTTGACCTGCTGGGCCAATCGTGAAAACGTTGGTTACACCCTTGAAGGCACCAGAAATGCTGTAGAGCAAGTTATGCCTTTCTTGACTGAAGTAGCTACCAAGCAAGTTTTCAAGCCATGGGAACTTTCTGATAACATCAACAGGATTAAGTTGGAATTGGCAACTAGGCCACCACAGGTAAATATAATCTGATACATTTTACATTTTGTAATACTTACCATTTTATATTTATAGTTGAGGGCTATCGATCTGTTGCACAAAGCCGCTTACCGTCGTGGTCTTGGCAACTCTTTGTACATCGCCAAGCACCAAATTGGTAAGATTGGTTCTGAAACCCTTCAACACTATGTAGCCAGCAATTTCTTGAGCGGACGCGCTGCAGTCATCGGTGTCGGTGTTGATCATGACTCCCTTGCTCAATACGCCCAAGGATTGGAATTGGAGACCGGTGATGGACACGTCGAAAAGTCCCCGTACATGGGTGGTGAGATCAGGTAAATAATCATTTCAGTTTGTAATTAGGCAAATACTAATTATTATTTCTTAGATCCGACAAAGGTGGAAACATGGCTTACTTCGCCATCGGTACCGAAAGCGTTGGTTACAGCGACTTGAAGCAAGGACTTGCATTCGCTGTTCTTAAGTGCTGCCTGGGCAACGGTACATCCGCTAAACCATGGGGCTCCGAAAGCGCTGCTGTCCTGAGCAAGGCTGTTGGTGAAGGTGAACACGCCATCGCCGCTTTCAATGTGCAATACTCCGACTCCGGACTTTTCGGTGTTTTGGGAGTTGCCAAAGCTAAAGATGCTGGCAAACTTGTCGAAGCTGCTGTGAAGACCTTAGAATCCGGAAGCGTTTCAGATGCCGATGTAAACAGAGGTAACCTTATAAACATATATAAAGACTTCTAGTATCAACAAATTTGTTTTTAATAGGCAAAAACCAATTGAAGAGGAGAATCTTGACCAAGTTGGAAAATGGTTTCAAAGCATCTTATTACTTCAGTGAGCAAGCTTTATTGAGGGGCGAAGTTCTGTCTTCATCTGACATGGCCGCTGCCATCGAATCCGTAACCACCGAGGATGTTAACCAGGTTTGTTATATTTGAAAAACCATTTAATACCAGCATATTAATATATACAAACTTTTAGGCCGCCCAAGCGATAGCCGGTAAGAAGTTGTCCATCGCCGCTGTTGGTAACTTGCAGTCTGTTCCTTTCCTTGATCAATTAACTAATTAAATAATTATTTTTTGAAAATTAAAATACAAAATCCTTAGATAATTTTTTTGGAAAGAACAGATTCGTACAGCACGACTGTACTTTTAATTTATATTTGTACATTACATATAATGTTTAAATAAATTCATTATACTTTATTATATTATTTCTATATCAAAAAAAAAGAGTAAACCAAAAGTAGGCATTTCTTTTTCTACGTGATATATTATAAATGCATTATTCCAATAAAAAAATATGTAAATAACGGTACTTTGGTTAAAACGTCTTAAAGCGAGATATTATATAGATACTACTGTGATTATACTCAAAAAGAGAAGCACAATTATCACCCAGTAAACGCAACTTTTGTCTTTCCTATCGACAACGGTAATGTGCCTCGTTTCATTGTTGATACGAGCATCAGTTCTAGTGATATGAGTACCCAAATCGTCGATTATATCTAAAACAACAATTATCAATCCTTCAAGCACATCCAAAGTTTATTAATCTTACTGTACTGCAGATCCACTTCAGCACCAATAGTCTGGGCAATGTCTTTTTGCCTGGCTATTATCTTTGACAAGTTATCCAAGCCCTCTTCTTGTTCTAAAAATGTTTCATTTAATAAAACTAACAATGATGATGTGAAATGTTTATAACACTACCAACAAGCATCCTCTGTTTATGCTTCTGTATATCATTCACACTTTCATTGCCTGCATCCAACAGTCTATCATCCCTGGAACTTCCCCAATCAGAAGATCCCAATAATGATGCTCTTTCCTGGTGTGCAAATGAAGTGTTATCACTGAACATCTTATCCATTTGATTGCTCTTAGATTGCAAATGCTCAATTTGCCTCTTCCTTCTCTCACCTTCATCAAATGTTCTAGTTGCAATTAAGGTTTACTTTAAAATAATAAAGTCATGACGAAATGTTTAATAAAAAAAAAAGGATACATGGTACCCAAGTCACACAACTCGGATACTTTTTCTTCCAATTGTCGTACCTCATTTTTGTATTGCTTAAGTCTCAATCTTATGGCTGCTGATAACCTTGAGTACGATTCACTTGCTTGTGTCCTTTCCCTCACTCTTAACTGCTCCATAATATCCCTTTGCAGTTTTTCACAGGACCCATATTCAATCAACCTAAGCAATATTTGCAAACAAAATAAATAATATAAAACTTGATTAATTATTGTTAATTACTCACCAAGGATCATCTCCTAAATTTAGCAAAGCCATGTTTAATAATAAAATGTTCACAGTAACTAACAATTATATGCAATAAATTAACATTTAACAACTCAACACATAAACTTAATAAAACATAATAGCAATTATTTCACTGTTTAAATGAAATGTTTTCTTTGCAATTGGAAGAAATAACAGTTTACAAATGGATAACCTTATTATATTGACAATATCAATGTCAAATAAGCTAATTTGGTTGTCTACTTATATAATGAATGTATATTTTTTCGCAACATAATACTAATTAATAAATTTAAATTATTGATTTCAATTTAATTTTTAATCTCTTTGAACATAATTAAACATTTATCATTTGTTTAGAACTAACGATACGATTAATATTTGTAAACAATATACTGATATTCTCAAAAAAAAACATAATGTAACAAGAAAATTTAAAAAAAACAATTGATCTGCTACTTATTGATCATAGGTATTTGCCCTAATTATTCTATTAACCGTTATCGTACTTTAACGCGTCTGACTCATTTGTATCAAATTTGTACTTTAGTTTTTGAAGTAAAATTTAATAAACCCTTAGAAATGCAAAATAGGAAAGTTCACATGGATGCAGTGATAACAAATCCAGTGATAGCGACGTGTTTGTACCAATCAGAAAGCGTATAAACTGTTTAGATACGAGATAAGAGTAAAAGAAAAATCAATGCGTGAATTATGTGTATCATGTATTTTGGAAGAGAAAAACACAACAATTATTTGGAAATATTCTGAAACTCATGGTACGAAAGTATATGCTTCAAATAATTTAAACAAGGACCATGGATTATTTTGTTATTTTCTATTATATTTGATGACAAAGTTTTAGAAATACTTTTTTTTTAAGAAAAGAGATTTATATCAATTTATTTATTGATATAAATCTCTCCGGCCCTATTCTACTCCTTTCGGGTTTAACAGCCACCACAAATTTTTGTTGATTTTTCGGAATTGAACCAACGACCTTTCGTATCAGATTTTCGCGATAGAGGCGACCATAGCCATACTTGTTACCGAAACAAATCGTTTCGTGGACGACAAATGGTACTCTGTTTCCTAAGACAAAATGAAGACAACTATGCATTTTGATGGCTCAAGTAAAAAAAATAAATATCTAAATGTACTGGTCTAAATATTCTAATAGACTTGTCGATGCGTGCAATTGATCACTAGGATCAATGTTCGTCTGTTTCCCAATCTTGCGAAGTCATCAAAAGATATCGAAAACTTTTGATGTTTAAACCTGTATTTGTTTATAATGGTCCAAATTTTGATGACATCTCTAGAAATTGATTACAACAGAAGTCGTGTTTCCAGAAAAGTTCGTTTCACCTAGTTGATTTCTAAATAAATTGCAGTAGAATAAGTCGAAGACATAGAAATGATTCGTTCTATCCGATGATAATCGGAAAGTTATCAAAGGACTATGAACTGAATGAGACCGGTCCAAATATTTATCTTATTAAAACAGTATTAAATAAAAATAGAATTATTTCGTTCTCATTCAAAAGTAATATAATTTCACCTCTATTTCATCTGCTTTTCTTGTTGAACCTTATACCTGCAATATATTCAAATTCTATTACATTTTACAAACATTAACTCCAATTAAACCACACATTTGTTAATAATAAAATTATTGTTAATTTGGTTATAGTTATTTTTATTTGTCATTTTCCCAAATTTATTTAGTGTTTGAACATTCAACAATAATATAAATATATTGTTTTTTTTTAAATCTCCATCTTCTAATAAATATATACATATATTTCTGTAACTTAAGAAAATAGACCAGGCATGATTTTGTTTTTTCTTTGGTATTTTTCCGTTTCTTGTTGCTACAAACTAAGAATTAACAGAGAAAAAAAACACATTTTGATTTCCATATTGCACATGATTTCTGCGTATTTCCCAATTTCAATTAATGACTACATTATCTATCACAAAGAAACTTAACACAAAACAGAAACAAAAAAAACATAAATATTAAATTATTGAAAAAACAAATGTTCGTGGTGAGATTCAATAGTATATGTTAATTAAGTAGTATCAATTTGTTTAAAAGGTAAACAAATAATTAGCAGATTTTGGTGAAATTTGCAAACAATATAATATTGTAAATAAATTATAAAGTTGAATTTAAAATAAATAGTGGAATGCTTTGGTTTTGTAGTTATATAAAAATAAATATTCTAAACTTTAAGGATTCTTCCACTCATAAATGACGAAACGTTTAAACAAAAAGTTAAACAACAAAGACAAAATTGTTAAGTTAAGCCGCAAATTAAGTGAGAGATTTTACGAAAGTAATTTAAGGTTGTTCAGTTTTCCTCGTCTGAGCTCAGAAGCATAGTTTTTTCGGTGTAATTTTGGGAAATCGTGGATACTTTCGAATTGCCCAAATTGGAAACTATGCGCGAAGAGCTGTCCACGCTGTTGTACGATTGCGGAACGACGCCTCCGGTCGGACTCATCGGGTCGTCCGGATCGTAACTAGAGATCCTCTGGCCTCGGCTATGCTTGCCACCTGAAAGACGGGTCCACGTTGGGTCACAAACAACCTTCCAATAACACCACAACAATGACACACACACACAAATCAACTGATCCATGAAGAAAACATCAACATGCAAAGTACGCAAGCAAACGAAAGTCCAAGCAGCAACAATAACAAACAAACAAACAAACAAAAATATAAGAAAATAAAAGAATTATTTTAAATATAATTTATTATGTTCTCTTAAGTCGTAAATATAATACAATTCGTTTATTTATTTACTTCATTCATTAAATATATATTTATTATATGTCAAATCAATGCAATTGTTATAATCATAATAATGTACATGCCAATGTTGATAATTGGGTTGTTCCAACGATATCACAACCTGTGATGGTCTAAACTTGAATAAACAAACGCTAAGCTACTAGTTGTAATAAAAAATAAAAATATACCTAACTAATTGTATCACATAAAATAAAACATAATAATATTGATATTGTTTAGAATCATGAAAATGAAAATAATAATTTGGAAACACCGTACGAACTCGAAATAACGAGTACGTTCTCATCATCCATCGCTAAATCAAAAAAAAAACAAAAAAAAATGAACCCCTGAGTTGAACATATCAATCAATGATAGTTTTCTCTCTCCGACAAACTCACAATTCTTTTATACATTTTTTAGTCTGCGGTGCGTTACTTTTTTTTTGCGTAGCGATTGACAATGCAGCATGCAAATTTTATTTTATTTTTTTAATACCACAAGCTCATGCGACTTGCGCCTAACACTAGTAAACAACGAATGATATAAATATATACTTTTTTTCTTCGTCTTCCCTAAATGTGCAAATGACTGTTCTGTTTGATTTCTTTTTTTATATATATTAATACATGAGGAAACAATTAGCACTTATTAACTCTAGTGTTTAAACTGATTCTTTCACAGCTTCTCGTAAGGGAGATTCGTGACGACCTCTGGAAACAGAAGAAAAAAACGGGAACATGCAGAAAAAAATACTGACTTTTCATTCACTAACTGCGAAATGAGATTACTAATGGTATATGTAGATAATGCGAATTATGAATTAAAATGATGATGACAATGATGAATTTAACAAGCAAAATCATCGGCTAAATGTTTACCTGAACTGTACTGCGTGTACTGTTGATACTGTGGATGGAAATTGTGTATAGCATCAGTCATTATATCTCTAGGATTCATGGTTTCCTGAAACAGAATTTATCAATATGTTATCAAGTAAACGTTTGAAAACTTTATAGCGTCGTTAGATCACAAAAAATAATAATTTCCTGTTTTGATTCGTATGCAGTTTCTGTAATATCTGAACAAGTTAGTAAATTGAATACATTTAGATATTTTAAATAATGTCTAGAAATTATTATAATACATCAATTGTATGTGATAATTTTACATATTCAAATTTAAATCATTGTAAATTTCTAAAAACTTATTTTATCAGTTTAAATACGTTGCAATTATCAATTTCTTTGAATTTAAAAAGATTGTAATTACTGTTTTTTAATAATTAATATTGATATGCTTTCTAAGTTCGAACTAATACCAGTATATTTATTATTAGTATTTGGTGCATATCAACATGATTGTTGATCTTGCGATTTTAACATGCCATTCTTTGCAGCTTAGTTACATATAATTTATATTGCATTTCTTTGGCAACGAAATACGTCGATATTAAATATAGTTCGATAAAAATAAAATACAGTGGAACCTAGATCATAGTAACTATTTATGTTGGAACAACTTTGTCAAAAAAATCATCAAGAAAATACTGCTTTTGTATAAACCAAAACTCTCCGAATGATAATTCGCTTTTTGATTATATTTTTATATTGTAAGTATATTTATCTCTAAAGCTAAACCGTCTTCTGGAACGAATTGTGCTTGAAGTTGAAATATGAAACGGGATCACCGTACATCCTATGCAATGCGCTGAAAATGTATTTTGGTACGTGGAGAGTGTGTTTCCGGCGGAAAACAATTAATTAGAATCGAGTAGATGTTGCACGCCACGTAATTAATCAGATCGTAAAACGCGAGAATTCTATAAATAGCATTACCTTCAGACTGCTGGAAATACTCTGCATCGTTACGGACCGTCCGTGGGAATCGGTGATGCAACCCTGGACGTAAACCCTATGGGGGAAGGCGTAACGCAAGGCGATCGCAGCGCAGAACATCTCGATGCAGATGAGGAAATTCTGGTATCCAGCGGAGACGGTACCAGCGGAGGTGCGGGTACCGTTGCTGTCAATTATCGGCGAGATGAGCTCGGCCTTTTCGAGCATCGCAAGCCCTACGCCTTGCCAGAAGGACAGGAAAATCACCGACTTCACCGTGCAGAACTTGAGCACCGGCTCGAAAGGCGTCAGCAAGTCCCTCGTCGCGAAATAGAACAGGAACAGGCCGTAGAGGGCGAGAGAAATAGAAATATTGTAGATGATGGTCGTGTAGATGTATCCACCGTCCGGGCTATATGTAGAAAACAGAAATTTCAATCTGCGCTTGACCTCTGTCACGATGCCACATACCTCCAGTCACCGTCGTGATAATGTCCGAAAGCTTGCAGGAAGATGATGACGAAGGCCATCAACGGTTTCACCAGACAGAACTGCAGGGTGGCCTGCTTGCAGAACCTCAGGAAACCGATGGTGTAGGTCTTTCCGGTCAGGCAGCACGTGCCGTACATGCAGCTCGATCGGATCGGCTTACCACGAATTTCCGACATGATGTTGCCTTCTCCGCCAAGATACTCATAGCAGAGCGATAGGAAATTGTATATTACGAATGCTGCGAGAGAGAAATAAAATATCGTTAGAGGTGAAACGTGCACGGAATCGCAAAAAACCTTACCTTCGTAGCAGTCCCTCACGGTGAAGAAGTACACGTAGTAGCTTTCAGAGTTGAAGAACAGCAGACTCAGCCAAGAGTATGTGCCGTATATTGGGACGATGAAAAGTATTCGCACGATCCATCTCTGCTCTGCTGGATTTGTGTACCACCTCAAGTGATGATAAATCTAACAACAAACACATATTGCTTTATAACAATTAATTTACGAATTAAATAAATGTAGATCAATAAATATGCACTTGAGCACTCTCTACACGAGTGTTTCATAGTAAAGATATTAACCAAAATACAAAAACACAATTACTTATTCTAAAGAATCACAAAAGTTTACCGTTATTTTAGTTGCAAAGTTCATTTCGTGTTCATGTTTTCCTTTAATAATTCGCTATAATACTTTATATACAAGTGTGTAGTTGACATTATTATACCAATATTTTTTAAAGTAAAATAACATAGTTTGTTTAGTTAATAAGTACACTTTAATTATAAAATAACCATAGGCTTTTGTATCATTTACATAAATGTTCATACACATAATTTAATTGGAATATAATTGTAGAAAAACGTCGTTTTTAAAACAACAAATATCATGATAAAAGTAACAAATGCTCTACTTTATAATTATTACTTTTTTATGTTTTTAAAATCATCATTTAATCCAAAAACTCGCCAATAATTCAATGATTAAATTCCACACCACTTGATGATTTTTTCCGTCAGAAAACGATAAGATATGCCAATGTTATTTTTATACAGAAATAACACCATTGTTTCGACGACAATCGATAATGTCTTTTATTTTCATGTTTAATGATTTCCAATCATGCGCATTCCGTCTATTAATTATATTTAATGATTATTTGCGTATCATAATAGAACGCTTAGAATATTATATAATATAATTTGCAGCTTCCTCAGCGCGTAGAATGTTCGCAGAACTACTGACTGTTACTTCCATGTCTTCCAGCAATTAGAAAACGCTTCCCGTTTGTACACTTTTCCTTAACGATCTTCAGTCTTTTCTATATTGTGCAATCTCGTGGTTTTAAACTATGAACAAACATGTTATTGATTGAAAGAGAAATATTTAACTGCGTAACAAGATAATTCAAATGAAATATATACAAATGCAAGCAAATTTTAACGAACTTCTTGACGTGATTGAATACACGAAATCAAATTATATCTCTTTATTAATAAGTATTACACTTTCTTAGATTTTTGAATCTTCAGTATTTTATTACAATTATCCTCAATTTATGATGTTTCCTTACCCAAGTATAATCTATCAAATATATTTCTTAACTTTAGTAAGCTCTCAAGCATGAAATAATCTATCTTTCATAGATTGTAAACTATATAGTTTTTAAAAGAATTGAAATGCGGCGATCTACTTCAATCACTTGTTGCAACAAATTACTTATAACTACAGGCATAAAACGCATATCTCTCTGCAATTTACGGGGCTGGAGGTAGAATAGAAAGGGCAGGCAGACCGGAAAATTGAAATTTCACGAACGTATCATTAGTTAACGGTATATTATTTTGTAAACAATTATATGCACTCGTGCGCTATACATTTTCATGTGACACCAGCTCCTCCCTCAACTTCGATAAGATTCTTGGAAAGTTTCTGCGTAAATAATCTTACACTCTTTTCCATTTCAAATAGGTAAAATTCGCAGAAACTTTATTCGAAATATTAAATGTATTCGTTCGAGCGTTATTTCGCCTTTCACATGATTTAAATATGAAATACCGAGTTCAGCTCCTGTTTCCCGATTTACAATCTCAGTATATATGTTTTCATTATCTAAAAATACAATTCATTCTTCACTGGAGATACAAACAACATAATAGCACATATTACAAAATAGTTTCAAAGCATAAACATGTTTTTCTTGCTTTTTTATATACACAAAAATAATACAAAGATCTTGAATCTAGAGATTCGCAGACATTATATAAAGTTTAAATAAATAAATTCTGGTACGTGCCTTGCATGCATACTCCTTTTCGTCTGCGAAAAATATTTCAGAATACCATTATATAAGAACAGAAAACGATTGCTTCAAAGAAAATATGCTATGTTTTTAGTGGTACAGTTATTAACCTGTTTAAAAAATGTCGATTTTCTCTAGGATCAAATGTTTTCTTTAAATTAACATTAATAAATCAGCACAATCATCTAATAAAGAAACTGGTTACATAAGTTCTAGACGAAAGTATGAACGTAGGAAGCATAATTTAAGGATTTGTCATGTATAGTTAATCGGTCATTAAACTTAATTTCTCAATTTATATCCATTGTGATATTACTTAAATGTTACGATTTAATTTTAGAGTTTGTTAAGAACAAATGCAATCATATAGAATATTCTTACATAAATAGCTGTACAATGTGTATAATGAACAAGTATACGATAGTGATGAAAAGTACATAGGCAAAAGTTAACAATAAAAAGCATTGTATTTTGGTGGATAGTAAATGCGTAATATCTATTGTTTGTAAATATTGAATTGTATTCAATTGTTATTGGAAGTAGCACTGCTGTTATTGCAGTTAGACTATTGTCATGTATTGTATTAATCAATGCGATTACATCGAGCTCAAATGAAATCTTAAAAATAGTTTTTTCTCTCTATATTCTTTGTAAATATCGAAGCATGTATGAAGCGCTTCACTTCCACCCTATTTATTATTTAATGCGTTTATAGAGCACTATGTAAATCAATAATTTACTATGGAGACAGGAATACGAAATCAGATTGCAACTATATAAAAGCTTATATAATACGCGAGTCTACTTTTTTTAACAAGATACTCTCGGTTCGAGCACTTTTACACAAGAACCAATAATATTTAAGTATGACAATACTAACATTTCTACTCTAATAAACAACTTAATTGGTATAACATGAATGTAAAGAAAACGTTGTCCTTAGACAATAGCTTTGATGATGAAGATTTAATGCATATTTAAGAGATTAAATTAGGAATGAAGATGGTTTTAACATAAAAGATAAAAATAAGACGAAAAGTAAGCTCTTTAATAATTATTGTAGAAACGATTGTGAACTCTGGAATATGGAAACTTTCATTTGCAGAATCTTACTTGAGAACTATTATTATTATACTTTTAAATCACATTGTTTTAAAAGTTTATATTGATGCTGGAAAAACATGTTTATCCTTTTGTAAATAAACGATTTTGTAGATATTAGTTAAACTTTATATTCCATGACTACCATGTACTAATTGGTATTATGAAAAGACTACCATCATCTGGTTCAAGTAAATAACCAAGTTGGCAAATGCATGCACGGACTTAACAAATTATTCAGCATATATCGTGTAGTATGTAGACGGTTTTATGTAAAAATTAAATACAAAATAATTAGTTTCAGTTGACGTCTAACCTCAGTATACTTATCGTTATTAGTCAACTTATTTCAATAGCAATGATATTATGTTTATGTTACTAATAACAAGAACAAATATTAAAATGTGAATGTTCTATAAAATCATGGCAATTTTTATGGTCTCGAGATAATTCACAACAATTTTCTAAATAACAGTTAACATCTATCATCAATTAATAAAATTACAAAAATTATATATTTCAAATTCGCAATATTACTTGAAAAAAGGAATGGAGTTGTGTTTGGGTTTTACCCAATTTCCAGCAATTTGTTCCAACCAATTAGAAATATATAGTAAATATATTTGATTACAAATCCAATACAAAAGTGCTAAAATTGGTAATGGCCGTACAGATAATACAAATTTGCTTTTTTGTTTTCAACAATGGTTCAATGGTAACTGCGATGCGTCGTTATTATAATACCGAGGTCGCGCAAAGCAGATCCGCTCGATTTTAGTGTAGTAGAGTTACAGCATCATAGGTTTGCGAGGAGAAACGTGTTCCAGATAGAAAGCCGAAGAAGGGAAAGGTCAAAGGAACAAGGAGTGAGAGTTGCGAAGACCAGTGTTTTGTATGGTTGTAGCAAGAAGTGCCTTTCTAGTAACCACCACTATCATCATCAAGACAGACAGCAGCAGCAGTATCTTCATCCCAGAATTAATAACAATTCATGTAACGCATGCCATGACGCAAACGTATAAAAAAAACAACAACACACTTTCCACGCGTTCACTAAATATTCGATTGCGAGGCGCGCGAATTGCATCATCCTACACGATGATATTGATGGTGGTGGCGATGATGATGACATTCTGTACAAACCTGTTGGCATGTGAGGAAGAGGGCGGCCCAAACGAAGACACCGGCGATTCCCTGCGCCAATTTCGTCTGCAAGAAGATGGGCTCGGAGGGTTCGGCTTTGACTCCTGCTGGCTGCTCCAGGGAGGCTGCCAATGTTGAGGCATTCACTGCCAGTGTGACAGCAATTCCGCCCAGCGTGGTGCTGGATAAAGTCGTAGTAGTCGTCATATCTGATAAAAAAAAACTCAATATCAGATCATTGCAAATAAATTAGCCGCAACACTTGATACCAAATCTGGAGCAAGGTCGCAATTGATCAGCTAAAGATTATTGGTATACAGCAAATTGAAAGTAATGCAGACACCCTTGCCAATTTATCTTATTTCACAATATTATAACCCAAACATCAACGATAACTTGCCTTCAATTAAATTACGATAATCTCAGAATAATAATTAGTAACAATCTTATCTTGCACAAAATACACATCTCGTTCTTATCTATTATTACGTGTTTTCAGCAATTGAAAAAATCTAACATTATGCTTCAATTAATTAAAAAAACAATTAACATTTTCAGATCAAAAGACAAGTTATGTGTGTACATAAATGGAGCATTCGTTTCGGTAAACGTCTACAATAGATCTATTTTTAAATGTAGCATCATTTATAGTGATTAAATCTCGAGACACATGCAAATCTTGAAGGTCGTTTGTGTAATTGCTTTCATGATATTTCCAGAGCGCTTTTCTGGAATGCAACTTGTTTCTGCGTTATTACAACTAAATTGGTTTTAAAGTTGGATTTCTCTTTAAGAAATTCAATCAAGTTTCGTACAAATTAAATATTAACTTCATAAAACTATACTGGATTTATTACTGAAGTTACAGAAACACTAGTTCCAAAATAAAAGAAACAAATAAGTACCAATTGCTTCATTGTAACGATCTTAAGGATGAAAAGTAGAAACATTATAGAAAAATAATATTTTATTATTTGTTTATATTAACCATCAACTTTCAATCAACTCAATTTGTACAACCCAAAACATCCAGAAATTTCATACAAATCTATAGATTACAGTACAAAATAATATATATTTGAAGCCGTCATACGTGGTCTTCTTTCATAACATGTTTAAAGTCACATATAGTCTCTACTAAATTAACTCTTAATACTACATGATGACTACGGTATGTGTATGTTTATATACAATGTTTGGTTGGTTTCCGAACGGCGATTTGTTACAAATTGGTCATAATTTGATTTATTACAATTTAGTCAAAAGTGATTGTACTTCGATGTACATTCAAATCATCATCTGGAATTAACCGAGTCAGTTGTACTTTATTTGTACAATTGTAATGTTTTCTTTTACTTTCTTTGTGATACTTTGCACTTTATTGATGCTAACTGCATTTGTAAATAAATTCTACACTTGTTAATTATTTAAGTCAAAAATAATTCCATACAGTAGTTTACTACATTTTTTTTTTCTTGAAACAATAATTAGTGTTTATAATGTTGATTCTGACCGAAGTTGTCGATAAAAACGACAATTTGAACATAAACTTAAATTTGTAAATAAATTGCTATACAAGAACTGTTAATTAATATTATATGTGTTAGAGATGTGTTTGAAAATGTTTATATTTTACATTGATAATGCGTTGCACGAACATCTGAACTTGATAATACTGAATAAACGAGCTGTAACATTCTACAGATAAACAAAATAAGTAGATCGTGTCTTCCTGTAAACAAACTTTTCATTTATTTTGAGACTATAGAAAAACAAAATCGAAGAACACCTGATTCTTTGACCCGACTAAAGTAATGTGGGTTGGTGCATTGCAGTGGTTCTAAATTTAAAAAAAATGGCGAATAGAATATTTTCGCATTAACGTACGCAACTTTTAAAATGTTCACCAAAACAAACATTGTGTAAGTATTGATCTCTCGTCTGGCCGAACGCCAACTGTAATTACTAGATGTATTAAGAAAACCACCGAAAAAGACTCGGATTAATTCAAAAGAGAATCTGTGATGGAAGATCTCACCACAAAAAAAAACAATGAAAGAACTATTATGCAAGTTCGAACACGTACATTCGACTCCAGAAAATAAACACAGAAATCGAATCGATACCTGTCCCATTTCCATTAATCAAGTCTGGAAAACGAAAGCTTCGCAGAATATGGAAAATGTAGGTTGCTTTCTGATTAAAAAAAAAGAAGCAATTCAAACATTTCTACAGTTAAATTGAAACATTACGTTTAAACTCTTATGAACTAATTATTAATTAGTGATATAATAGTATCATCATTTTCAATGTAGAATATAATCTACGCGATTGAAAAATATAAGTGTGGAAAGTTTTAATTTAAAAAAAAATGCTATGTATTGAAGATATAAATATGAAATATGTCTCATTAATATAAATGAGTTTATCAATTGTAAATATAGAAAAAGCAAATATAATTGCAAGAAATGTTAACTTAATTGGAGCATCACAAGAATGAATAATGTTAATATTTTAGTTGCGTTGAATAACCTATTAATGTATGAGAACAGTTCATCACCACAACAACACACAACATGCGGGTATTTAACTGTTCTTGCAACAATAAGCCTAGAATACGAATAAGTATGTGTGTGGATGTGTATGTCGTCTTCAGTCCAGAGAAATGAAACGCAAAGTTATTCATGAGCACGTCATGAAAAGCCTCCGTTTGTGCAGTACGGAAACGTCCTTTCTGGAAACTCCACAATTTTCCATTGCAAAGATACAGCATATAAATATAAATTGACGAAACCCCAGTAAAGTTTCGTTATTATCCAAGTTTTTACATTTATGTTCGTATTGTTTTCCAGTTTAAAGAGAATGGATGCATTAGCAAACATCACTTTGTTTTTTGATTTTCTTTATTATATAATTCGGCCTTCTAGATTGAATATTTGGTGGATAGATTAAGACAATTCTATTTGCTTTTGTGTAATAAAAAATGACTTAATTAAATTTAATATTGAGAAAAACTATTTCATTAATATTTTATAAACGTAATTTATTTTAATTGGAATTCAGAATTTACATATATTTTCAGAATATGTTGTATAATCAAACAGTTGGTAATTATGATATTATAAACATTTATAGCTGATTTTCAGAATGAGTGAAATCATTTTAACTGTTACAAATTCAACATTTATTGTTTTGTCATTCCAAATTAGAATCTTTGTTGCTGACTTGATTATTACTTTGTATAAGAAAATAATCAGTAGTATTATTGCATTCATTTATAATTACATATATAATTAATTTAACATTAAACATAGTAATATTCATTAATGATAAACTCTAGATTGTCTTTAAAAATAGATTAATTATAATAGATGTTGTATAACTACATATTAATGAATTGTATAATCAAAGTAGAGACATTCAACTCAAGATAATTAAAAAGTTATATTTCAAGGAACATTGAAATCAAATTGATTAGAAATCAATGGAGATTAGATAAATACGAGTCATCTCGACGAGGAAATCAATCAAAAAAAGTAATCTAGATACCAAACGAATTACATGACATTGTTTTTTTGCAATGAGATGACGATAGGTCAATCAGCACAACAACAAAAAAGACAATTAGAATGTTGCTTTTCGGATACCCAAATAGAAATGACAGATGAAAGTAGTTGGCCGTGGTAATAAACAACACGTAGAAATTTCGTAAATCCGTATACTCTCTTGTATTACATTACTCATAATTCTAGGAACAAAAAGAATAAACGATAAGAGCTGTCACATTTAATCTATGGATAAATAATTATCTATTTGCGATGGCAAAACCAATAATTTCCCTGCATATTGCCTGACGATGCAAAAGCAATAATTTCGGTGTCCTTCGGCGCATACATCCACCAAAAAAAATAATAAAAAACAAGGTTCGGCCTTCTGGTTGTCCCCTTGCGAAATTAATCGACATATGGTTCTCATAGCTGATCCACCTTACCTTTACGTTCGTGGGGAAACACAATTACTGCACCAGCGATAAAATCCGTTGTATAACCTCGCACCTGGTTTAATACCTGTCACTCGACATATTGGTAGTTTGTAACGAAACTAAAAAAAGGGCGAAACAAAACACAACAAACCGCCTTGCTGGATTTTACTACCTTTTCCCCTTTGTCAATACTAATTTTGTTGTTGCAAGGAAAACAACGCACGCACCGCACCAACAAATTTGCAACTAAATTTCAGATCCTGTTGCCACCATGTTTATGACCTCAATTATTTATTCGCGCATGAGCAGCACAAGGGTTATGTGTTTCCATAACTTTACAAAACCTCTAATATCCCTCGATTCTTCAAATCATAGTATTGGTACATTTAAGTCCGTTAATAATAACAAACTTTTACAAATATCTATATGTGTATCATGATCCATGTCTATTACTTAAGACATTCCTATCACATTTTGATGCACATGTCAAAATATGACACTAATTCAAAACATTTGAAGGAAAAATGTTACTTGGTTATATACTACAGTTCTTTTGAAACAATTACGGACTTTATTATTATTTTTATATGATATTTCAACAAAAACTTTGCAATTTGTTTTCAACAATCAAAATACAATTTAAAATAATATGCCTTTAAAACAATCCTTTACTATTATAAATAAATGTATCACAGCATAACTTAATATTGTTGTATGTTGACTTGGTGTAATAACGTATAACAATCCAAAACGGAATAGAAAACTATTGCTTTTTACGAACGCCTCCAACATACGGCTTGTAATAGTATGCAACAAGCATTACACATGTACTTAGGAACGTGTTTACGGAAAAATTCAGAAGCAGACTCGTATCAGCAGATTCTATTAATATAGTGAAGATGCGTGCTAAAACAAAACAAAATGTATTAACTTATATCGGACTTCGATTAGATTTGACTCACTGAAGTTTGTAAATGCTGATATAAACCATGTCAACAAACTAACTGATTCTGAATTTTTCGTTTTGCATATCTCCAATAGTTGCACCACTTTTGCAGATGCTCCAATTGGTGTGCAGAATGGCTGCAAACAAAATATTTTAATGATAATACTAAAGGGAATTTAATTATTTACCACTAAGAACATTAATATTTCTCTTGGCAATATGCCCAGCAGAAAACCTCCTGCTGTAGATATATAAATAGATGCTCCCATGTATGTGTACTTATTAAAGTAACCACTGTAGTAGATTACAAAGAGAATGAGGATAATTTGCTGGATTAGAATGATTGGATATTCCATGTAACTCAAAATGGAATATCCATTGCGATAGTTATAAGAGAGCATTACTGTGCAACTGAAAGAAGAGTACATTAGGATAAACAGAATTTATTTATATAATGATATTGATACCTTCCAAGTTCCATCAGTAGTCCTATCAAGTTGATACCTTTGGTATTCTTCACTTTGAATACATTCCATATTTGTGGAAATTTTAAAATTAAACACGTCGATATTGTAATTATACTCAAGAAATCAGATATTATTTGTAAAATTCCCCCATCCTCTTTGAAAATCATCTTCAGCTTCTTCAATATAGCTAGACCTTAGCTCAAAACATAACCTACAAGATAACTATGACATTTGACATGCCATTTAACTGCATGTTATATAATGCAAATTTAAAGTGCATTCAATATTGGTTCCATAATAATACAAAAACAAATAATTTTCATCACTTTTTATTTGGAAAACAAAACTAATCCATAAAACAGTATAATTTTAATTGCTCTGTCTAAATTTTAAATGAAATTGGAATATTTCATATGCATATAAAAAAAAATATTAGCAACTAAACATTCTACTGTTCCAAATTTACTCTAATAGTGGTATTAATATTATTATTATTATAATTTGAGATGTATTCTCGAACTCTAAATAGTTATAGTTAATATATATATATATCTTTGCTCTATTCTATAAACATATGAATTTTAAAGCTTAATTAACACATACATAGTATACTTATAAATCCTTGACTAAATATAATAGGATTTGAAAATAATGTATATATATATATTACTTTTTTCTCCAAATTACTGGATTAACTCAGAGACAACTTTGCAGACGTCGTCATTGTAACGCGCCAAAAGTGTTGCATTTAGATCGCGATCATTGAAACCCATTTCTGATAAAGCAAGCAAAGCAGATTCACGCTTACTGTTAGGGTTTTCGGATACCCAGTGACCATTTACCCATTTGCCACTCTGCATTACCATATCCATCATGCTGCGAGCGGTGCTCATGGCGGAGCTGGCCAACAGAGCAGCTCCGGTCAGCAAATTTTCCTGTGGTATGTTTTGCGGTCTTGATGTAGAAGATCTTGAAGAATAAGACGAATACTCGCATTCGTAATCATCGTGATGAGTCATATTCTGATGACTCTCAGACATGGATCTATCCTTGAAACAGCACCTGGGGCTATCATGTGGATGGTGGCTACATGAACGATTAGAGACAGATTCGGATCCGCCCAAATTAAAGGAATTACTAATTGCAGCACTAGCAATATTTTTGTTTTGATCTTCGTACTCGTCGGCGCTGTGAAATTCTGTATTTTGTGGATCTGCAAAAAAAAAATGTAACGACTTTTCTTATGTTTGAACAAATATTTTCACTGCTTACCTTCTTGTAAAGCTGTTTCATTAACAGAATTTGTTGTCAGTTCTAATTCTTCGAGTTTGGATACTTGAGGTGTTGAAGCTGCTTGAACTACTTCAAAGCCAGGACTTTGCTGCGGAAAAATAAACAATCTGTTCTCACAGGATGACAACATGGATTGAATCATAGGATCACTTGAAAGACCTCCTTCGTTATTTGCTTCTTCTGGTGGAATTTCGACAGTTGCATTTTCTGGCTTAATCCAAACTGTGGGTTCTGTCTCAGCTTGTTGGAAATAATCTTCTTTCAGATATTTCTTGTCCAACGGATATTTTTCTCCGTTGTAATATATAAATGCATAATCAGTAACGACATCTTCTGCCACATTTATTTCTTCATTATTATGAGTTACAGGTTCTTGTTCTTCTGTTTTTTCTTCTTTGACAATAGCTTGTGCATTTTCCTGCTCAGCACTTTCATTGCCGTAGATCATTACGTAACCGTCTTTTGAGGAATTGCTTCCATTCAAAGATATTATACTTATGTTATCTGCTTCTGTATTTTCCGGTTTAATATGTTCATCTGGCTCAACCATGCCGGAGTCATCATTTTCATTCAAATTCAAGGATGATATACTCTCCAATACATCATTTTCAGTTTTGATATTTGACTCAATTTCAACAGCGCTTTCCACTTTAGTATCATGTTTTCTCTTCTTAATATCATCCACAGTCACCTGCAGTCCCAGCCATTTGCCAAATCTTTTACCATGATGGAGGTAATGCCAGTAACATTCGTACAATCCAGGAATTTCTGTATACGTAAAATATATTTTAAAATGTTGTAATTTCAAATAGTCATATAGATATTATTACCTGGTACACTGTAGTATGTGCTTATAGTTCCAATTTCTCCGGGTTTTAAATGAGGACATTCAACGACCCGTTCAATTGGAACTAAATCTTTCGAACCCCAGGCAAACTGTATTACCGTATTCTTATCCCATGGTAACATTCCACAATTGATAATCTCCCAACTATGCATATATGTTTCTCCGCCCAACAAGTGAACCATTGGAAAAATAACGTTAGTTGCCAAAGATACATTCATATATTCAATTTCATTTATGAGCGGAGTGCTACGAGATTCATTCACATCCTTTAAAGCCTGCTTCAAGGTTTTAATTTTAAACGTTTTTAAATCCAACTTTTCCAGCTTATTCTCCAACTTTTTCTCGGATTTTAAATGTTTTAAATCTTTATTGGTTAATTCCAATGGTACTGCTGGCATTTTCATAGGTTCGCTTCTGGATTTTCGCGACGAATTTATTTTCATCATGGTAGTAGTAATCTCCTCCATCATTTCCTTTTTAAACTAAATAGACAAGTTACAAATAATTAATATATATATAGTAATTGTTTAGAAGTTTTTATACCTTTCTCATGTAACGCGTGAACCATTCAGGTGGACTGTCCATCTTGATTTTATCTACTAATTCCTCTCTAGGTTTGGCTACCTTCCTTTTTACAGCAGTATTTTTGGGATTAGCTACTTTTTCTAATTTCAACATATTAATATCTCCATCGCGAGCCCTCTTTCTGAAAGAATATAGGGCCAATTGGAAATCTTCTTGAGATTCTATGGGCAGTTCTCTATCATTGACGTCAACATAGTACACCCTTATATGTTCAGTTGAAGTACCTGAATTTTTCAACTAGAATATAAAAAAAAATAAAATAATAAATTGTTTGTTATTTTTCTATTATTAATTTATATAATATTAATCCCGTGCATATTATTGGCATAACTGTACATTTTCACAAATTGATAATTGATTTGATAATTTCTGCAAAATTTTAAAGCCTTTTACTATTTCCATTGTCAACAAGTTGTGTCCCAGGGTTAAGAAATCCTTGGACACCGTGGATTATCTCGTAGTTACGTCGTTGCGGAGTCTTAGAGGGTTTTACATCGGAGTTTTATTGAGAAGTCAACAAAACAATAGTTGATCTCAGGTATTATTAACTAAGAGTTACATTCTCCTCTTAAGTTAGTACTTATGAAGTAAGTGGACTCTCCAAGTAAGACCAACTTCTCAGTTCGACTCCTTAGCTAAGACTTCCTCTCAGTTTGGTCCTCTGACTAAGACTAAATTATATAATATAAATAAAAATGTGTTCATTTCGAAAAGGGACAGCGTGGAAGAAAAGGGTTTGACCTTGTGGAAAATACAATTGTTTCTTTATCTAAGTTTTATGATCCTGCCCAAATATTTAGGGGCTGCAGAAGGCTGTGAAGTGGTGATGCAATAGACGCAACTATACGATTTAATGTGTAACCGTCGTTCGGAATATTCCACAAGTTATTCTAAATAATCACG